ATGTTGTGGTGTATAGAGATGGGGATGGGGATGAAGGCGGTTGTGGGTTAGATAGCTTGGGAGTTGGGGGTTGGGAGTTGTTTAGATGGGAATGGGGAGTTGGGGTAAAAAGGGTGTTTGTAACTTTTACGTGTATGATGTATAACTTTTGAACGACCGATAGATAGATGATTATAGATGATGATACTCAATGAGCTAGCCAAACCGTTTGAACCTAACCTTAATCTCAAATATATAGGTTTGAAGACCTGTAACCTAACTGAAATCACCTGTAATACTCTGCAGCGCTCGTACAATAGGCAATTACAAGGCTGATAAAGCCTAATAACCCTCTATACTATGTTTTTTTATTCTATTGATCGTGTCAAGAGAGGAGAGGGTAGGAAAGACTGAATGTTTTATAAGATCTTACTTGATTGGTATGGAATGGTATTTGGTGACAAGGCTATGACAATACCAACGTATACGATTAGCGTTTCAATATAAAATCAAAATTAAAATATGGGATCACCAGATCTTACATGATAAGCTCTTAGATTTAGGCGGGGGTTTGGGTCTGGGAATTGGTGGTGTATTTGTAGGGGGGGGGGAGGGAGAGAGGAGATAGCAAAGGGAAGAGATGAGAGAGAGGAGAGATGAGGAAGGAAGAAATAAAGGAGCAGGGACACTGAAGAGTACGAGATAAAAAGTAATAATTTTAATAATATGATTTATAATAAGGCTATATTCTCATTCTCATTCTCATTCCTAACCATCCATCTATTCCAATCATAACTCTAACATCAAAGAAACCCACCTCCCTGAAATTAAAGCACTCTATAATCAAATCAGACGATGCTTCCAAGGGACAACAACAAAAGCTCAAAATAGTCTAGATAATCAGAACTCAATAATACACTATCTAAACGAACAGCACCCAAAAGAAATACTCCTAGTGAAAATGCTCGATTCCGCTACACGTTTCGTGTAAAAGCTAATCTGTCTTTGATCTACATCTAGGCTATTTCATCTGTAGACCCCATTGACTCTAAGATAATAACAGACTTCTTTTCTTGGAGTAGTATATTTGTAAGATCTTATATTAATACGTCACGGGTTTATAGGCTTACATAGATATTACTTCTCCCGAGTCCTAACTGAGCTATTGAGGCAGATCTGTCGAAGCCCTGCCTCTTTAAATCTTCCCCGTGATGCTTAGACTGAGCAACTATATTCATCAATCTATTTCTTGAAATGCCGCTTTGAGAGCTTTAACTACTAACGTGGATGGATTTTTGCTTCTTTTTTCCAAAGTGGTGCTATAGAGTATAGCTAGATGTGGGAAGTGCACGCACGCGGACGAAATATGATGCGTATCGTTAAGGCCATGGCGTACATAGGGGAAATGTATTTTAAACAGCGAGGGAGGCTAGGTGTGTGGAGAATAAAGGTAGGTGCAGTGCTAACTTATTGTATAAATGGACAGATATTGCGGGGCGGGGAAAAGCACTGGACCATTATATATGCGATTGGATCGATTGTTCTCGTCTCAGACAAGACTTTATTGTCGAAAGCTTGGCATAGATTCTCAATGATGAGATGAAAATTGTTCTCAGGGCATTTGTACTCTGAACTACTGATTTAGGGCACCGAAAATCCTTTCGTAGTGTGAGTAATATAAAGACTATGAGAAACACTGATATGGAATCAAATCATAATACCATGTTCTCATTCACATTGAGATGGCGCTACCAAGTCTCATTGCGGAAGACAAACATGGAAGTTTGTATGCTTTCGAACCGCTATAATTAAGCAACAAAAAAAGGTTTATATGCAAGTGGAATATGGCAGTTGGTAAGATTATTATTTGTTATAAAACACTATTGAAATTCTCACAAAAGAAATCTGCGCGTTGACAAATCCTCTCCTACCAAGATTCTCTGTAGTAGAAAGTACTTGTAAACACTCCTAATAAGTCTCAGTCCAAACACCAGCATCTGACTGCTCAACCAACAAACGAAAAATAAAGATAAAGGAATGACTCCCATGACACTTAGTCACAAACACCAGCTTCTGAGTACTCCAACCAAGGAAAGAAAAAGGAAGATAAGAGGAAAATTCCCAATCCAAAGAAAAAACATCAAACATCAATATCAACGGCGCATAATAGAACCGAAAACTGTCTTTCGATCCATCACCCCTCAACTACCTTTCCAGTCTCTCCTTCTCATTATGTATCATAAATCATAAATAATACGCTATTGATAATACCACGCAGAATCATTAGAGTTCCATTGCGCCTGTAATGGAGCTTGTGTGGTATTGTTAGAACTTGCCCAAGGATTGTTAGAGGGGAAATCCGAGGTATTGTATTGAGTGTTTGAAAGCATTGGCGCAGGGTTATGAACAGGAAGATCGAAGGTATTGTGTCCAGTGTTTGAAAGGGTCGGCGTAGGGTTGTTAAAAGAAAAGCCGGACGTATTGTATTGGGTGTTTGAGAGGCAATGGTTGTCGAAGGGAAGTTCGGAGGTATTGTACTGGATATTTGAGGGCGTTGACCAAGAGTTTTTAATAGGAAAATTGGGAGTATTGTATTGGGTAGTGCCAACTGTTGGCCAGGAATTGTTAATCTGAGGATTGGGGGCATTGTGTTGAATGTTGCCAACGGCTGACCAAGAATTGTTGAGAGGAGGATTAGGGGTATTGTGTTGGGTATTGCCAATGGCTGGCAAAGAGTTGTTGAGAGGAGGATTGGTGGTATTGTGCTGAATGTTTGAGGGCGCTGAACAAGAGTTGTTTAAAGGAAAGCTGGAGTAGGGGGTGACTTGTCCCTCTGTGCCCGGCCTGTAGTTTATCTCTGGCTTCCACGGCGCTAGATTATGATGACTATTATTAAAGATGTTTGCCTGGCAACTGGATGTAGAATTCTCAGTAGTACTAGGCCGGTTGACTTCGCCGAATGACACAAAAGGTCTATAACCGACGCCCATTTGCTGAGGGATTAATTCTTGGTGATTTGCTTGTTGATGGTTTGCTTGTTCATTATTTGCTTGGAGCGAAGAACCCGAGGTAGTCTGGTTCGAAGTCGCGTGGTTCGAGGTCGTGTGGTTCGAGGTTGTCTGGTTCGAGGTTGTCTGTTTCGAGGTTGTCTGGTTCGAGGTTGTCTGGCTTGAGGATGTCTGGCTTGAAGTTGTGTGGTTTGAAGTTGACTGGTTGTAATTAACGGCTTGAGAAGAAGCTGAAGTGGACAAGTTCTGAGAATCCCCTGAGAGATTCTGAAATGCCGTAATAGGGAAAGTGGATAGTTGATTACAACCGTGGCTTAATGGGGGATTGAGAACCCTCGGGAAAGGCGTTGCTAATAACAGGGCACTGCTGCATGAAGTTGGTGCTGCCGATTGTAGATGTATCTTAGCCATGTGTACCCTGGTCTGTGCTCTCTGTCGGGTTATATCCTTGAGAATGGGGCAGAGGCAGTTCATCGGGAGACATAAAGTCATTCTGGTCGTAACTCATTGGACAAGCCGGTATCACATCATATGAAGAGTAGGCATCTGTAGGCCCCGACATCTTAAGTTTTTCCTTTCCCAAAAATGGCCTAGAACAAATAGCCGTGTTATCTAGGTTGTAGAAAGGACATATACCTTCAAAGGCTCCAGAAATACCAATAAATGAAGTTTGCTGGGCTCGAGGATGTATGCGTATGTGAAAAACTTTTCTGCTTTCTGCTTCTGCTTTTGCATTTGGGGGGAGCTCGAAGCTTAAAAGCACAGATCTCGAGCTTGAATAATGACTCGGAGAAGCCTAAATTAGATGAATAATACACTTGAAATAATTAGATGGAGTGAATATATTACTCATACAAAAAGAAAATCATCATAGGGCATCTATTATTCTGTTTGAGCAATCAATCACTTATTCCTCAACTCAGAATGAACAAAAACGTGGCCGATGACTCTCAGCCTTGACTATCGCTTCCTCCCATTAAGCAATGAAATTTTCGACATTCATCCAACAACGTATTTGTAACGCTTTAGCGTACCATTTCGAAATGATTCATCAGCGGTCAATGTCCCGATTCTATCTGGATAATATGATAATAATACTGCTGAATCAAAATATAAATGAAGGATATCTCTCCCAAAGAAATACCACACTTCCTGACTCGATCTTGTAAATACTGAATGGTTCATGAAACGCAAGACTTAGGTCTGGTCAAGAATAGAATATCTTAGCACTTTCCAGAATAATGCATCATGCCATCACGCTCGAAAGTTGGTGATGAAGTTTTACATGAGCTTAAGACTTGCAATGAATGGAAACTTTCTTAGCAGTTTCTCCCCAGAGCATCCTTGAGTACTCCAAGAACGTACATTGCATACGTATAGCACAAGTACATACTTTTTTCCTTGCTCCATGGTCCACCAAGGCTTTCGACTGGTAGACTTAAAGCAAATGGTTAACCAATGATGAGGCTTTATCTATGATTGAGATTGTACTCAAAGGTTACTTAAATAAAGCAAGGCAATGAGACAAACGACCATATATTTCGAAAATAGGTGGTAGATATGCGGTTACATGTACCCGACGTCTTGCCCTAACGAATGCGGGGTTACTACCCCACATCCAAACAGCCCACAAATTATTCTAGACGGAAGCAAAGCAAGTAACTTTTGTTATGCGCAAGCCGTCAATATATTGAGGTATTGAGCGTATCGAGAAGCTTGAATGCCACTGACCGTTTGGCGATTGATTGGAGCGTAGGTACTTCTATTCAACCCGACCAAGCAATGACACAGCCTCTATCACGGTAAAGGAAAAAGGTCCGCCCACAAGAGCAGAAACACCTACCAATACGCCTTACCCTACATGCTATCGCAGATTTCATGACGAAAGAAGTGTGCGGATAACAGTTTGCCAATTTTTGTATGTAAGCTAAGTCATTTGAATGCCGGTATTGATGTGATAGAAACGCAACCATTACGACCAACCACCAATACGGTGTGCGAAGACTCGACGACGACATGTCCATTCAAAGATAGACTTCGAAGGAAAAGCTTAAAGAATCGCAGCGGAATATGCAATGCGGTTGGGTTTTGCTTATGTGTGCCAGAAGATGGATGCCTAGCCTCCAGCGCTCAAAGGAATAATTTATAAAGAATCAATTTGGATGTGGTAGCGATTGCCATCGGATCAGAAACCATATGCGATGACCAAATGCGTGGTATATTCGGTGTAATATTGTCAAGACGGAGGTGCGGTGGCAGAAACGATTTCGATGAGGATATTTGCTCGAGTGGGAAAAAATGTTGGCCTTGTATTTAGAACCGGACTGTAGTATATAATCTAGAATGTAGCATTTCTCTTCGCCTTCGGGCATTGTAAGTATTTACCGAGAACTTTGCAATCAACATCCAAACTAACAAATTCATAGTGGTCAATTTGAAACGATACAGAGAAGATTAGCATGGCCCCTGCACTAAGGATGACACGCTCAATCAAAGAGAAGCTACCAATTTTTTTGCATTTTTTTTCTCTATCGACTCTATGTAGGAATAGATATTTTTGTCTTGATCAATTCTTTTTTTTTTTTTTTTGGCTTCGGCTCTCGTAAGCGAGGGAATCATAAATTATGGAGCTAACACAATTTTTGGTGCAACGAATGATTTCTGACTTTCACTGGCTTCGGAAACTGGACCCATAAATTGAAACGCGTTTAGACGCGCCAGCCCCGCGATTTGGCGCATGAAGTAATCATCAGAAGGGCAATTTGGAATTGCCCCCCTACAAGTCCCAAGAGTGCTCCCTTTATCCCATCTCTTGAATCTATATGTGAGCCAATAATGGATATCGACCAATTTCTCAATGATCCCTCTGAGGACGCATTGCGACCAAAAAATTCAAACACACCTGAAGTAGACTTGCAGGCGTTAACAAGAGCTTGGATTAATGAGCGCGGTGCTCCAGAAATTCTACCGTTGGTTTTATCCTATCTTTCAACAATTTCTACGGCCTCGAGGGTCTCATAATTTTCTTAATTACAATACGACTGACATTTGCTGAGGTTATAGATGGCCTCCCAATAATCTTGTCGAACGAGTTACAGAACGAATCAAAAAGCAAATCGAGAAGGTAGAAGAATTGACCGGAGATATGGATCCAAAGACAAATTTTGGCCTTATTTGTATACAGACGGAACTAGAGAGGTGGAAGTACCTCATCAGAGGATTAGTCAGAGCCAGAATCGCAAAGGTTTGCCCAAAGGCCACAAGTCGGCGGCGCATTTGCTCACTTGTATATTACAGATCGATGCGCATACGTTACACTACCTGAGCAATGAAGGACTTCGATCAAGGCTATCGGAAACTGAAATCGCATATGCCACAAGACATCAACAATTACTACACAGCCATTACTTGTCGAGTTTCCTGGGGAGCTTTCCTGCTACACTACAGAACTTGAACGATCAGGCAGGAGGCATTTCTATGATCAGTGGACCAGATGAAGATACTGCTGTATTTGCAAGAGGTACGGGAAGTTATGAAGAATTTACTGGTGATGGCGGTAGCATATCCGTTTTGGGAAGAGGAAGAGATGGGGACGATGTGAAAGATGTTGGCAGAGGGGAGGTCGTAATTGCGAGATGGTCGGATGTCAGGGAGCATGTTGAGAAGGGAGAAATGGAACTAGTTTGAAAGATCCATCCTGAACGAAGCACACCACACAGTTTTGGCCCACTTCCGTCGGGACGGAGAACAACATTGCTACCAAACGTGATGTCCTATGGAGGAGCCGACCTACCTATTCAAAGCTCTTCCCGTATGGCGACTCATCTATTGCTTGTTCCACCAAGCTACATTAGATGATGATACATGCAATGGAGACGATCAGTGGGAATTTACAACTACCGAGAGTCATCACGCTTGAGGATGAATATGAGCTGTTTTATTGCATCGAACACTGATATTTTCGAATTACGACAAAATAACTTTGGCGGGCGGGAAGCGGCCATGAGGGCCAATGGATAAAAGCATCCCACATACTTTTTAATTATCATACTCCGCAAAATAGGAAGACGGATTGACGAACTTACGGAGTACTGGAAAGATCCGTCTTCTTCAGAGCAACACTTTGAAGATTAGGAATCCTAGCTCGTTTGGTAGGTGATTTAAATGCCAAGATTCGGGGTAGAAGCATCAAAAGCACAAGGAGTATCCACTTATGGAATTCTGGTTCAGATGCATCCTCAATTTAAAAGGCCGAGCTCATGGGAGGCTCTTTTCTAAGTGAATGGTTTGTTATACCTGAAAATTCATATGTCGCAAATTGTTATGACCTACCAAAATAAGCACAAAATATTTAAGCTTCGATATTTCTCCAGATGTAGAAGGAGAAATGGAAGAAGAGAAAACAGTTATCTGATTATACATTCACTTAAGCTCATCAAAATGTTCTTGTCTCTCCTCACGCAAGCAGGCTTTTCGGCTTCCTCATACTGCAGATATGACCACAAACGACAACACCAACTCTACGCAACAACCCTCCAAAGCTCGCGGCGTCCCTTCTATGACCCCTCAGTACTCACCCAACTTGGCTTATTCTCATCAAGTTCCTGGTGCCTCTGACCAGGCAGGTTCACCCCCTTCATATGAGGAGGCTCAACGCAGTTCTAGGCAACAGTCCTCCAAGACTCGCAGCGTTCCTTCTGTAAATCCTCAGCACTCACCTAGCTCGGCTTATTCTCGTCAAATTTCTGGTGGTTCCGAACAGCCAAATTCACCTCCTTCTTATGAAGAGGCTCAACGTGTTTGGCACAATGAGAACCACCTGTCATCGGATATGAACTCTACACTTTCAGGAGCTGCAGATGTCTCTGATGCAGAAGCGAACCGACCTCTTATTACTAATGGGTTTGAAGGCTATACTTTCACGGAGCCTAATGGATCTGATAATACTGTCGACACCTCCACAGCTGAAGCGAACCGTCCTCTTATTACTGATGAGTTCAAAGGCTATAATCTCACGGAGCCTACCGGATCTGATAATACGAGGTCTTAGGGTTCGATGAGTTCGGTCGAGTCTGGCATCTCCATCCCTCGAAGTGATCGACTAGCCTCTTTTGATGACCTGAGTAATAATTTAGTCAAAGGGTAGCAAAGTTCAGTATTTCAAAGGAGAACCCGATTTTCGTCATTGGCGGATGCGTACGAGGCCCCGATCATATCAATTTCAGCGAAGGAGTTTGTGGTGTACAATGGAGGCTTTGGATTTGGGATGATTGTCAAATGAGGAGGAAGAAACTGGGGCCTGTGTACGCAGAAGGATAGACTGACAGTTCTCGGATATGTTTATAAACCATTCGTGTTGTGATTGTTAGGATGAATATTCTTTTTTTACGGGAGCGGAGTCTTCCTTTCTTGGCTTTTTGACTCATTACTTTGGGAGTCAGCAGTTACTTTCTCCCAACCTTTTCATCGTACAGGAATCAGAAGGACAGTAGGCATTCGTGGACGTTCGTTGTTACTTCTGTGCTGGTAATAAATGCATTCTCTATGAGTATCGTTTTCTGTTATATATGTTCCTAAGTGAGTGTTTCATTTCCCTCGTTTGTACCCTTTCATTAGTATCAGAAGTCTCTCATCATTCCCTCACGAAGAAGCAAATGCTAGGCACAAAGACAACAAGATGGTTCAGATGGGATATAGTGTTAGTAGAGTCATGTTGCTAGACCTGGAGAAATCATTCACATATGGACAGCATGATTTCATGTGTCATTCTTCTAACATCATGACTGTGAAAATTATAGATGTGAGAGCGAAACTTGTGCATTTAAGCTTCCAAGTCTTCCAAGGAGAGGAATAGAAAATTAAAAGCAGAAACATTTTATATACTCAAGTTGTCCACAATTTTACTTAAATATTTTTTAAATTCTCACAGGGTGTCTACATTTCCTAACAACAGAATATAATCATGTATAATTCTCACCACAGCCGGAGCAATCGGAACCTTTGCTATTCCTCAACAAGCCAGCCATCCTCAAGCGCACACCCGCTCATTAATGCCACATCTTCTACCTCAGCCTCTACCGGCGATGCTTCAGCTAGATACGTTTTTTCAGGAACAACTCATTCATCAAAATACACCGCCGTGGTTCAGCCTGGAAACTCCACAAGCTTTACCACTACCCCTCTCAATAATTCTCAGCAGAGCAATGGAAGCCTTTCCTATTCCTCAACAAGTTAGCCATCCTCCAGCACATACCCACTCAAAAATATACCATCCTCCGCCTCCGCCTCCACCGATAATGCTTTCCCTAAATACACCCTTTCAGAATCAAGTTCTTCAAACCCTAGATCTTATCCCTCATCAAAATACACCACCACAATTCCGCATAGAAACCCTACACACTCTACCATCACTCCTCTCACTAATTCCCCAGCTCCATACGTTCCTCAGCCAAGAATTTATCCCAACCTCATCGAACACAGACGAAACCTTGGACACCATCACTCCTCCTCAACACACACTAATCAATTGCCAGAAGACTCATGCTCCGAAGATACCTGCTTCGAAGACGGTTACTCCGAATTTTCAGTTTCCTTACGTTCTTCACCTGATCCTTGTAATGGACAAGCTATACAGAATTGGGTCTGATCAGGCGCAACAATATCATCAAAAACAAGAACAAGAACCCAGTAGGATAGATCATCCAAGTCTTCGAAACCCGATCTCGATTTCTGGTCGCGTATTCCCTGATTCTGAAAAATCCGCAGTTGGCCTCCAGGAACGGAAATCCTCGACCAAGTCGAGATATGAGCCTTCGACACAAGTTGACGCTTCTCCTCAAACTCGGTCCTATCAGCGAGATGAAACTGGATTATATACCTTGAATAATGAAGAGACATCGAAAGAAGGAAAACGGAAATTGAGAGAGCTCGTCCCGAGAAGTATGCGCCAAGCAGATATTGCGGCGAAGAGGGCCGAAGGATTTATATCCCGACGATATCGAAGCAGCACGCATGAAGATGGGTTTTGAGCGGTGATTTATGGAGTGTTTCTTGGGGGAGAGTTTGGAGGAGGAATTACCTTGGTGTAACGATACTATACTGGAGGCAGCGGCTGCCTAAGGTTTCGTCTGGTTGGTAGTTGTGGGTTAAGGCTTTATCACTAGTCTTCACTTGGAAGTGAAGTCGTTACTAGATCAAGTAGAATGTAGGTAAACTAATTGATAACTAAGTTGAGCACAAAGCTCCTTAACTACGAGACTAAATGAATGTTTATATACCCTATATCATCTTTTGAGGACCTTTGGGACCCTAAGGTCCAAAAGGTCCTCGAGGTCACGTGAATTAATGAATCGTGACACTTGGTTCTGCAGACTATGTATGGGTTTCTCTTCCGACTTTGCAAATGGACAACGAGATGTAAGAAAGATTTTGTAGGGTATAGGATATTAATTGAATGATAAAGTTCCCTCATCTTTTCATATATTCATCCATCTATCCATATCCATCTACTCCATCAGCTAAACACAACGGAATAGGAAATATTCCCATAAACACCCTCCCTTACAAAAACCGTCTCCTCCGCGTCACGCTGCATCTTAGTCTCATAGTTTAATAATATCAATATTTCATGGATTTTCCTCCTTTACTTCTTTCTATCGCTTGCTTGAATTTTAAGTAACTAATCTTACAGAAGCAAAATCTTATAAAAATAACTAGAATAAATATTTTTGATAATTAAAGGAGATATATATATATATATACTCAGCTCCTCTCTCTTTCTATTTAAAAAAATCATTAGAAAATATGAAATCTATTCAAGATTATTGTCACGCCTCTATACCCGAGATTATTATTTAATCTTAGTAAGATAAAAAAATTTATAATTAAATCTCAGAATCTCATATTTCTCTTCTCTTCATCTTTCCTATATTCTCAAATCCTTTGTCACGAACTATATTTTCGATAATTCTAGTAGTAATTTACTATATTTATAAACATCTCTCTCACTGCAGACAGATATTACCTTACAATTTATGATTGATATATAATCAAAAGTCCTACTTTGATCCCGTCCCTCTTGATCTGAAATTCCCATTACCTGCCACACGATGACGAGACATTTACATACACACAAATAAATACACACAATCAGGATATTAAAAGGATAAATTTTAATTTGTTTTTTCATTTTATATCTCAACTATTATTTCTCGACTCAGTGTAGACATCAAGAGCCACTCTCAAGAACCAAACACTCGTGGGGAATAAGTAAAGCAGTAAGCAAGAAGTAGTAGTCCTATCCACATACGATAAAACTTATGCCCATATACCCGTTTAGGGTTGCAATATACGTCTCTTCATCCATATATCACCATCACCATCACCATTTTCCTTCTCCCTTTTCCTAGTACTCCACAACTCATACAATCAAACAAATAAGGGCAAGTTTCTCTAAACCCAACAAAAGTAGCGGAAGCCTAGCTACTATACCATCTTCCATTCCAACTACCCTATTATGAAGAAATATAATCCTCTTCGTCTTCAATTCATCCATGTATTCCACATCCCATATTGTAACAATTCCTAATCTCAATCACCATCTCTTGACAATCCATCTTTAAAAGCAAAGAGAAAAAGCGAATAAGCCCAATTTTGCAAATATACATGTAAGTGACAAACGCATTATTAGGGAAGAGTAAAACTCAAGGTCCAGAGGTAAACGATTCGTTAATGGAAGTGGAATTATTAAAGGGGGTTTTCGTGAATATCCGTTTGGTGGGAATAATTGAAGGAACTAAAGGCAAATCGAATGTTTCGAATCCAGAAAAAGGAGGAATAACAAGTGAGCGTGCATATGTGACTGATGTATGTACGATTGGAAAGACTCATGAGGTAGAAAATTTGGAGTTGATGTCGAGAGTATTGAGACAATGTTTCTTCAGTCGATGACAAGACTAGAAGATTGATACTTTGCAAAAGGAAATATGATAGCGTAATCGTGTTTCGCCCATGTATAGGTCGTCCTCATTTTAATAAAAAAAAGTTTTCGTGTAAAGTGTTGTGAGCACAAGAGCTCTTCTTGTCAAAAGAGAGTGTGTGTTGTGGTGGTCCAGGATCCTTGATCCAAGAAAGGTTTGTTTTTCGCTGAATCGACTCGATGGTGGATATTTAAAAAGGACTCGCTGATAACTCAAAATGTATGCCGATGCATTGTTTAGGTTAAACCTAGAGAATGAAAGACGTGTGACAAGCAAGACACACAGACTCTTAAATGCAAGCCGATACGCCAGAGCAAATGTGATATAGAAAAACTTTCCGTTAAACCTTTCGCAGATGAAGACGGACTAAAAGAAGACTCGACCGAGAAGTTAGAAAATCGGTGAGTGATTGTAGAAAAAACACAGGTCAGGGTATTTAGATGACCTGTTGTACTGATAGTTGGAAGCTGTTCCGAATATTTGTTAAAATCGAACAAATGTAAAAAAAGCCAAAAACTCCGAGGAATGCAATGCCATGCTAAACGCCAAATGAGATGCAAAAGATATTATCTAGTATGAGACTTGTCTTCGTGGGCCTCGATCGTAAAATATGGGAGAGCTCATCATAGGGGAGCTCGTCATTTCTGTCGTTAACATACTGCCGCTTGATTTTGATCGACTAGGGGCAGTGGGGCTGTCATCAATTTGTCCGTGTTGGCCAATAGCATAAGTGTGTGCTCTGCTGAGCTTAGTTCTGTTTTGTCGAAGTCTTCCCATTTCCCTCTCACAGGTGTAAGCATGTTCCTTAGCATCCATCTCAACGTAATTCTGAGGAAAGCAACGGCCTTGATGTTCTGTGAAGAAAGCACTATAACCACCATCGAGGATATACACTTCAGGGTAGGAAAGCTTAGGGTATTGTTCGACGTTAGTTGTACGATCCTGTTGTCGTACGTGACGAGCCATAATGGGTGCTCGATGTGCGGAATATTCGCAATGAAAGATTAGAAGGGTTTTGCCAGGGATATTTGTTTCAAACAATTGACTGGTCAATAATTCTTTGTCATTATAGTTGACAGCACCATCAATATGTCCACCCTCAAACTCATACTCGAATCTGCAATCAACAATCATTCGTTGATCATATTCATCATCGTATTTCCCATCAAGAATTTCCAATAAGGTCTCCTTGGCAATCCTGGGAATGCTGTCAGGTTGACCTTCCTGGAAGAAATGTGGTAAAATTGGTTGGTGTATCTCATCAATATCCATAACGGTATGCAAGTTGCTTGACATACTTTCCTTCTCCTTGACGATATCTTGTGGGCTTTCAAACATGCTAAGTGATCGTCGAAATTGTTTCCTAGGCCGAACTAACGGATTAGAAGTTCTGCGTGAGTGACTACCAATCGGTGATCCATTCACGACTCTGCTTGACACACTTGAGAACGGTTTGCTTAGTCGAGGTGGTGGTGCCATGGTAGGACTATTCGCAGATTGTGAACGACGTTCTCGTGGTGGTGATTCCATAAAACATTCGCCCAAAGACATTGATGTGGAGGTAGACAATTTGCTGCTTCCGGCACCGAAGCGGAAGGCAGGCGATTGACTATCAGAGTTTTGTCGAGGCAGAGAGCTGGATGAATGACCTTTGGTGCGTGAAAAGGTTGGTCGTAATAATAAATTTTTCCGTCTTCTGTAGCTAATATTAGTACGGCATTCTTTGGAATGTGTAATTTACACTTACTCGGCACCAAAAGGTTTCGAGGCGTCCAATAAACTAGGACGAATTGGAGATGACCCCATAGTTGTATCTTCCGTAGTTGTACCTGCTGGTGTAGGTGATGGTATCTCAATTTGCGCAGAGAAATATGGTTGCTTATGGGGAAGAGGGGAAATATCCATTCTTTCATTCAATGGGCCTGGTGAAGAGGAAGGTAATGGAGGAGTAGTAACACAATCTGTATTTTATTAATATCTCCAGTATTGTCTTCCGGTAAACCAGTTCTTACCCCTGCCATCCAATGTTCCAAAAAGATTCGACGTGAATAGAGATCGACGAGGAGTGGGTAATTGAGGGCTGTAAACATTAGAGGTTAGCAGAAGTTAAGGATAAAGAAGACGGTGGAATTGAACGTACCTCATATCAATGTGAAAATTCTGTGATAGATCTGCCGCCAAACTTGCTGTAGGTGAAGAACCACGAACGGGTTTTACCATGAAGTAGTCTGATTTAGAATGCTTCATGCTCAGATCCCGAAAGTCGAAAGCACCGGGACCGAAAGAATTTGCAGTGACGCTCGACATATGTGCGTGCGGGTGCGAAGTATACAAAGCATTTCGAGCCCAAGCTGGCATACAAGAAGAAGGCTGCATTGCAGCTATGGGTGAAGATTCCATGATTGATGGTGTGAGAGATTAGAAGTGAATTCGCTGCTCAAAATAATACTTGCAATTGAATTGTTCAAGGGAAATCCACTGCAGGAAAGCTCCGTTGACGTGATAACAAACAGTAGTATGAATTGAGAGTCTTCAAGATCCAGATTGACGGCAAACAATCAAATGGGGAAGAGATGCCCAAATGTCGTTGCTATACAAACTGTGAATCACGGCAGAATTCTTTTGATTGAAGAGAAGCTGTAGAGATTGAGAAAGGTTGTCCGGAGAGAATTATTGGAATGCTTGGTGCATCGAAACCTGTGGAAAGGATTGTATTGCCTTTTGGTATGTCTCTCGGTCAATGGGTGGATTTGGTGGCTTAACCTGGGTTATTCCACGAGCATCGGTCGAGATAAAGGTCGAGATCGATTCTTCGGGGAAAAAAGGTCGAATAGTAGGTCGAAAGATGGTCGGCCCTGATCGTAGATATATCTCACAACATAAAGAGGGAAAAAAGGTGATGCGGGAGGAATTGACCTTTCTTTTGTCTCTCCGATATGGTTAATACAACAACGAGATTATTGCAAGGGGACCTTGGTGGCGTCCAGTCGAAGAAGACAAGCCTAAAGGAAGGGGACCAGATGGAGGAGAAGGCACCGACGGTCGAAAGCTAAAGAGTTGGTTAGTAGTCGTGGATGGTTAAAAAGAAGTTTTAAGAAGGGCGGATTTGCTCGAAGATAAAAGATTTCGATTTAACTAAGGCTCTATCCAAGCAAACAAGAAATTCGGGATTTAATGTGTCAATTGGTGTCAATTGATATCAATTGGTGTCGCCAGTGGAGTTCATTTTCTCATTATTATCATATTCCCTGAATGGTCCTGTCGCTCTGGTGTTGTCAGGGAGATGATTCTCTTCTTTTTTTTTAATGAATATTCGTTTCCTAGGTAGCTAGACGAGAAGAGGGGGTTACCATAAGGTTACAATTTCTACTGTGCTTGCTATCTCGTCCCTCTCACTCTATTTTGCCGTCTACTCCGTAGCGAGTATAATCAAATGATAATTACAGCACACTTAACCTATATTGTCTCTTTTATTCAGTTGAGTTGCGTTGCTAGGTACTTCACTCTGCTAATCCTAACCATATCTCTCGCATGAAGCGTGGGTTGTAGTGAAGTATATAAGTGGGTGAGAAAAGGTCCAGGGTAGCTTTGGTGGGTTGAAAAATAGTCAAGTCAAACCACTCCCTTCGCGAATAAAATGATAGAATTGATGTCGTTTTCTTCGCATCCACTATTTCTAATCACCCATGAAAATGGCCCGCCGACCGTGGAGTTGAAAAAGTCGTAATGGTACCACAATGGTCAATGCCAAGCTGAGCATCCTTTGTTTCCCTAGTCGCGGGGATTTGCTTGTGAACAGGGCCAAAAAAGAGAAAAGGACAGCAACCAACTAAAACATGGCTACTCATCTCAACAGCTTCTAGCCTTGCCGACTAGTCTCCGCTCAAGTTGCTCGGTACCTTGCTTTGTATGGGGATCCATGAATCCATCGGTTCTAAGAATCCTTACCTAGTTCGCAGAAGAAAAAAAGCGAATATGGAAAAAAGAGGATAATGGGGCTAGTGATGGATGAATGGGCTGATTGCGGTTTTGCGGCGAAGGAACGGAGGGGTCAAGCATTAAGAAGGCGATGGATTGGTTCATCAAACAAATGGTTGCTGAGTGAGAGATGGATGAACATGGTTTACACTCTGCAGGTGACCTGGAGTGATATACAGCCCGGGTATTACATATGGGTCAATTTGTACGACCAGAGTTATGAATCAGATATGTAACATTGAAATGGAATGATGTCGTTGTGGATGTATCGAGATGTTTGATGAGAAGTTAATTGAGAAGACGATGAATGTTATAGTCTACAAGTGAGTATAACGAGTATAGCGTAGCGGCTTAATAGAGCAATGAAGGGTTTACCATGAGAGGAGGATGAGGAAGCGAGATATGATATCTATCAATTTGATCTTCTATCAGAATTTTCCCTTATTGTTCCTGGAGTATAATGTCTCAAAGTATAACTCACGGACGGAAGGGACCTGAAAAAAAAAGCATATGGGTTCTGAGGCCATTCTTGTTCTTATGATTGGTTGATATCGCTCACCCGTTCATTTGTTTGGCTCTTATTTTTTTCCGGGATGGTGACCTTCATTATCCTCAATTATGAATATGGCATTGTGATATTGATAGACGGGGTGGTTGAGCTGCGAAATGACGAACCCATCATGATGAATAGAAGGAATTTTCAACCTGGTTTACGTTTACTTTTGGCTCCTTAGTCTATTCTATCCTATGTTGTTTGACGTATAGAGCATTGAATGATTCTTTATCAGATCAAAGTTATTGTCTTGATGAAACCCAGTTCTTGATTTATTGATATTAAAAAGAATCACCCATTCATTTCTTACTTGATCGAGTAAATCCTAGATGCAAAATATGCACAGGGCATTCACAAGGTTATGAAATTTAAGCTTTTACGTCTTAAGTTTCATGCATCGTAGCTTCCTTTCATTGCATCACACCATTCTAGCTTTCTTTGCTGATATTGGTCAATGTGAATATCTTCCCGTCTTACTTGGTCGTCAGATCCCACTCAAAAATGATTCAACACAACTTCATTCGTTCATTCATACATAACACAATGTGTGAGCGCGAGAGAGCGTGAAAGTAAATATTTACACAACGCGTCTCTCATTCTTACTTACAATCTACGAAGAATCTTCCAAGCTTTTATTGCGCGTAGGCTTTTCAGCTCAATGTCATCGAGATTCTTCTTATCTTCTGTTCCGATATCCCGATATCCCCGAAAAACTGTCACATCTCCTCTGTATCTAGAAACAGAAAGATTCCATTCAATAATTAATTAATAATGCGTCGTTTCTGTTTCCATAACGGCTTCATTGCCCCATATCCCGTACGGAGTACAGCACAATACCGATCGGCATCCTCAATAAAAACAAAGACCAAATGCCCGAGAGCGCCTATTCTTTTCATATCATAGGCACAAATTGCAAATTGTAAGATTACGATATTCTTTTCATTTCAGAACAAGATCTACTTTTATGGAGTATACACTATACATACTTCAAATTGAGGTCGCATAAAAGGTCGACCTATGATAACTGACAACGCAGCAATTTATCCTTCACCTGGTCCTTTCTTTCACTCACGGACTCCCCAAGGCGGAATCATGAAAATTGCTTCTCCATATGGTCTCTAGTGTAACCGCCCGGGGTAACTTTTATCAATATCAATTATTTTCGTCATCCATTGCTGTCGGCGATGGGAGAGTTGAGGAGGTTTACCATCCGATGATATATTGAATATTTATTACATGGTAGGATCTCAAGCAGAAACATGAAGAGAGTTTGACCAGCGGTGTGGGTGTCCAGGTCAACCGTTGACCAAATGGTTGATTTGACAAAAAAACTTATCATATATGCCGTGCTAACGAATTATAGGTACAAATTCCAACACGATTAATAAAGCAATAGCTCGTATCACCATGTCCGTAGCCTTGCCAAATCAGCCTGTTTCGCCCGAGGCTATCCACGGGAGGCTTGGCTGATTATTATTTCATGAAATTGGTAGCCTGGCCGACCGACGCTGAAACTCACTCCCGCAGATAAACTAAAGTCTCAGCAGACGAATTTCAGCTCAGCCTGGAAATTTGAGTGATTATCAATGGGTAGGGAAGCCCCGTAAGTAAACGAATAAATTAATGATCCCTTCTAGCTTCTTAATGGTGGAAAGTACCATCACAAATGAACCCACCACGGTTTGAATACATCGAGATCCTTTTACTTCAAAACCATCTCCTTTTCTGCGGAAAAAAGAGGACCTCAACTTTCTAGGCAATTTCATAGCGCAACCGGGCTACGACCACCGTCCATGAATATCAACCGGGAAACCAAGGGGAAAATATCTTGGAAGGTATTGAGGTTCCTCAGTCATCTTCTTTTCGAAGTACCAGCGGAAGATCAGATATATCCACCATTCACGGTCAAAGTCTCTAACACTCCGCTTCATCATCACTCATCAAAATCTCACCAGAAGTCAGAATTCTCTCAATTTGAAACAAAGTCTGGGTCTGGCTAGTTTAACGTTTTGATAGTCTTGTCAAGTTTGCTCGTTTTGTTTGTATCTATTACCATTCTCCAAGGCTCCAAGCCTCGCTGCGTAACAACGATGGCCCTTGTCTATACTCATCTCCCTTTACAGGGTAGAGAAAACTGAATGTGAACCTTGGATGCGGGCCAGATTTTCAAGGAAGCAAGATTCGTTTTATTCAAAGTGCTCCGGGAGTAGGAACCTTGCTCCATTTTAGGATTACCTGCTACATCTTCCTTCTTCGATTCTCACTGCAGATTTCGATGCTTGGGCAAGCAATTGATGTCATTGGCAAATGCAAGTAGAGCAGATCATTCGTATCGGTTTTCTAGAAGCAGTTATTATGCTTTTATATGTGTGAGGGTATCCCAGAATAAAAAGAGATTGAGAAGACAATGAATGTGTTGGTTATCTTATCGCGTCGTAATCCAACCATCAGCCTCGAATTATGGACAATAGTCAATCTGGATTCTCGAAGAAGATCATCAAGATAGGAAATGTCAAGTGAAAGAACGAAAGATATCCTTACGCATCTACAGACGATATTTCTCATTATGATCTGACATATCAGCCGGGGTTTGGCTCGCGGCGGTTGCACGGTACAAGGCATGAGATTAGATCTTTTCTTGTGGCGGATACGGCAAAGGGGCGGGATGGTTGAAGTACAATGATATGGCAGCTATGCAAGTTGCCGTCTTCTTCACATGAGCTCATTTATTTCACGCACCTATCAATTGTGTATACAACTTCGACAATCGCATTGTATATATTCGGCAAAATAGAAGGAAGAAAATGTTCCTTGGAAGACGTGTCAGCTATCAAGGAAATAAATAAACGGGAACCCACTCTCGCCAAAATGAAACGACGTCACGAGCTTTATGATACGTGCAACTCTCGCAGATCCTGGGAGATATGAAGCTCGGTCTTTTTTTGTTTCTTTTCCCTCTTTTGGACTTTTTACCCCGCGTTAAATTCTTGATCCCAAGATCGGAATTTGAACTTTTGGATTGTTTAAAGATATCGATATGAATCTCATTAAGATCTTGAAGATCTTCTCTTTTCAACCTCCTTCATAAGCACGTAAATAGAACCCGGACGCATTACCATGTTTCTATCCTTATCAATAAACAAAGCGGTTGCTATGTTTCTAATTTCGTTCCTATGGTAGCGATCATGATCACGATCACAAAACTCATATGCAATGTTATGTATATGCAATGCAGCGAAGTGGACATATTAATAAAAGAACCAATGAACTATCATAATCAAATTTCTGCTCAGCCGTCTTTAGTTTCGGAGGCCCGCATATAATATATATTTTAAATATACTCCGAGCTTAAGCTTAGGATTATTGACCTGTTTCTGGCTGGTGGGTTTAAACCTAAGTGAGCAGCTTCTTCAGAATCTGAATCATCTCCCTCCCAGCTTGACCCCGCGTTGCTTCTACCGGGATTTTAATCCTTATCCAAATTGTCCAATCCTGAGAGGAGAGGCTGAGAGCAGAAACTCAAGTGTAACGCGAAATGATTAAAAAGATGGCTGGGAATGGTGGGATGGATGAACTTCTCAGCTTGGAAGGTGGGAATAGAGCAGAGCGGTTTGGTTTGCTGGGTTCTGATGCTTGCTTTCATAATATGATAATGATAATATGCATATGGGCAGATAGATGCTTTGCGTGCACAGACGACTTACTTACTTGCCCGGCCGGTTTCATGATTAGGTAAGTACCTTTTTCGGGTATTGGGATTATGGAATGGATTAATCTATCTATCGCAATCATTCACTATGTTGATGTTTGATGTTTGATGTTCACTAGGCTATATATGTTGGTGTGGTGGTATAAGTGTAAGAGAGCAAGCAAGCTTCCTTCAGACAGACAAGACAAGACAAGACAAGACAAGGTGTCTATCTGTTGTTTAGCGGACTACGAAACGAATCCTCACATCTTATGAGTAATAAATAAGCTTATCCGCTCACATTCCGCCCGCTTCAAATAGTATAGCGGAAAATGAAAATAAAAATAGAATAATAGAAAGAGAAATGATCAAAAACTTTTATTTATCTTTTTTTTTTTTGTTATTTCTTTTTTATATAAATCTAAAATTCTTTCTTTTTTTCTTTTTTTTATTCTACAGAGTATACTAGGTATATATATGTTACGAGGTTTGCCGTCTAGATCACGTGGAAGTGCTCTTGGCTCTCGAGGTCGTTTGTAACTAGGCGTCAAGCAGGGACTTAAAGTAATGACAATAATGCAATTCGTAACTAATAGTAGAGTATACTAAATGATTGATCTTGAGCACGAAGCTCTATACAAAGGAAATCCATCTTGATTATATAGACCTTCGTGCCTCCTTAAAAAAACCGATGGCTATGAGCCCGACAAATCGATCACCGCAAAGCCGATCTCGATTTGTCGGTTTCTTGATCATGTGATCAAGAACGTGACCTATGTTACTGTCCGACGTAACATTTCTTTATAAAAATCAAATCAAATTTATTCTTTCAATTTTTTATTCTGATTATATAATTTAAAAAATAATAAAAATAACATTCAAAATTTTAATTATTAATTTAGATTGAAATATTCAATACATCAATTTTGAATAATATTTTATGATTAAATAAAATTTTATTAGTTTATTGAAGTAACTGATTTTTGGTATAACAATTCCACCCAGCAAATAGCTGTGGTCTAGTACTGTACGTGCATGCATGCTTTGGAATTTGACTTGTATCATTCTTTATAGGCGATATGATTTGATATGTTGAATCGAAATCGAAATCGAAATCGATTATTTGTGTTTATACTGGTGTAGTGTACCCGCCAGTTCAATTAGCTAGCTACAGCTTGGTATTTTTACATCGGAAGAAATGTTTCTCGCATTTGTGTGAAGTATATCTAGGTATCTATCTATCTATTATGCATAGTCAATCATGCAGTCTGTAGACAAGTACTGTCCTATACGCACAGCAGAGTCACTATTTATTACTAGTGAGTGTCCGCGCCGGAAGGATGCTTGGCAGGGGTCTTTTGTAGCGTAGCTACGGAGTATGGAGTGCGGTGTACATCCCACTACCGGTACTCGTTTTTCTTTCTGCAAATAAGTGCATGTGCGTGCTTTCGTTTTCTACGTATACATGAGAGTATACGAACGGGTATGTATGTATATATATGTACGTATATGTTTGGACCCTTCAAACTTCCGTCTGTGGTAAGTTAAGGTCTTCCCGTACCATGCGGCAGCTCTAGTCTGCCCCGCTTGAGAACGCTCAGATAATGATCTAGAAGAGAAAAGAGAATATACATGTGGATGCGGTACTAGCTATACCCGTTTTCATAAATCGAATCATCGTTTTATTGACTTATTTTCGGTACGGGGTATCCCGGTATCGGTTGATTGTGGGGGTTTTTCGGATAGAATACTACGGAGGTTGCTGGCGAAAGTATTGTAAAACGCCAAAAAATGACCGTGCTTTCCCCATTTGCAGGGGCTTTGATCAATCGAGTTATTTAAAGCAGCATCGAAAGACAGGAAAAACAGCAATATGTGGGTAAAAAATGTCTTACAATACTTACCCTTCCAACCTACGTACTGTATGTACATAAATATATATTTTGGATGGACCCCGAGTTATGAAACAAACGGTTATCCTATTCTTTTCTTATCCAATAAGTCTGCTAAGAATCCACTGATTCCACTCACTAAACTCCACTTCGGAAAAAATTAAAAAGAAGTTTCTTAGGCTCGGTCACTGGTCAGTCGGTGCAAGTGGACCTTTCAACACCGTTGCTGTGGTAGAGAAGATTTTTCTTCCTCTTCTTTTTTTCCCGTTTCCTATTCTTGCCGAATATACGCACTATGCAATATGTATCCATAGGATGTTAACTTGAGACCCATGAGAGTCTGGGGTTAACGAGAAGATCTTTGTTATATAGGTGGGTATGGCCGAAGTGGTGACAAATGGCTCGTGATGAATGGTTCATGAGGGGGTTTTTCGTTGCGTAAGTTCTCAATATATGATGTATATTTTTTCGGGCCTGGTTTGCTTCATGACTTATTATAAGCTGTCTATTATATTTACTATATCTATCATTGCGGTTTCATGTTTATTTCAAGTCATTCTACATGATCTGTTTGATCTACTTGGATAAAATGATGAAACTTGTACATCTTTCGGATAATTGTAACTTATAATCATTCTCTAACGGATGAATGTTATCTATCTGAGAGGGATTGGCTTTACATTTTGGGTTTGGTTCTTTCTGCATGGAGCCAGCTTAACAGCTTATCGAAAAGCTAGGGCATTCTCCATCCCTAGGTATCCAACGCACGCTATCTATTATTTGAAGTACAGAGTACACACTACACAGCACCCAAGAACCAATGCAATCAATATATTGGAAAATTTTCCAGTTCCACATCCATCCCAACAAACACCAACACAGTCTCTAGGGAAACCGGCGATATAAATATTTCAAAGGTTCCATTCATTTCATCTCGCTACACTTTTTTATCCATTCATAAAATCCTTCACTTGAACGTTTTTTTAGGGTTTTGAACTTCAATGCTTTTGGTTTGGTACCTACTCGGTACGTACGTACCTTGGTTGAAGAGCGGAATAAAAAGTTTCATGATGCTCGTCGCCAACCCTGATAATCCCCCTTTTTATTTCCTGTTTTCTCTCTCCTGCTGTCTGATGACTGATTATCCGACCGATCGTATGGTTTCGTCGCTGCGGAAACCCGAGGGGTAGTGGAGATGAAATAATTTGCGTTGGGGGAACAACGCTGAATGGACCCTGAGAATTGAATCTTTTTTCTTTTTTTTTTTTTTGCTAATGAAAAAAAAAAAAAAGATTTAAATCTTTGATTGATTGATTGATGATTGACTTACTTAAAGGCTTGAGTGGAAGATACGTAAGATAGTGGAAAGGGTCAAAAGCGATCTGGCTTATTTTCTGATGATCATTATATCATTAGGGTATTGATATCATTATCATGGATGGTGATGAGATTATTCCTTAGCTTTGGAGACATTTGTGTCAAGTTGTCAACGTTTGTTTGGATCTTCTGGAAGGAAGCTAGGCTGATGATTCCGTAAATCCCGTCCATCAATTTGATTTTTCTTATCGTGACCAACCGGGTCAATAAATGAATGAATGAATGAATGAATGAATGTTTTTATTTACTTTATGAATTGTTCAATCAATCACACATTCATACAAGTGTAATAAGTGTTAAGTGCAAGTGCACGATGTCATGATATGCATTACAGTACGCTGCAATGCGGTGCAGTGCAGTACATTGCAGTGCATTGCAGATTTGGCGCTGGCGCCATGATTGAGGCATACATGCGTATGTACTCGTACTCCGTATGTATATCTGCATACATATCGGCGGATTTCGGTAACGCGTTCATGAATCGTAGATTCGTAAGTGTGAATTGGGATTGATGGGATTACGGTAGTTGATTTTCAAGGTGGATGATGGATAGATTGCATTTATCAATAGAGTCATGTATGTATGTATGCATGCTGCAAATGTATATGTAAATGTAAATGCAAGTGCAACTAAAATGGATAATGGTTGATGCGCTTCTGAGATGGCAATGCATATTTACCTAGTATATACAAAGAGTACCCCGCATTTCTGCGTTCGTTATGTATTTGAATACTTTTAGGGTTTTTTGCGGAAGGAGCGTGATGATAAGAAATTTCTTGGGGGCGTGTTGAGGGGTAGATTGATAAGGTGGGGATGTTGGTGCGTTGGTTGGTGGGTTGGAGATAGTGATTGTGAGCATCTTTCTTACGACCTATAGTATCTATCTATCTCTCTGGAGCTTGCACTGCACTGTCTTGAAGCAGGATAAGATAGGCATTGAGACGATGAAGTAGATCACCGAGGTTAGGTGATTGAGCTGAGCTGATCTGAGCTGATCTGAGCTGATCTGAGCTGATCTGACTTGATTTGAGCATACCGGTAAGTGAGGGGTGAAGGGTGAGGGGTAAAAGAACCGGTGTCGGGCATGAACATGAGGGGTGCTGGTATACCAAATGAATATGATGTGTTGTCTTTTCAAATTTATAGCTTAGGTGGCAATATTTTTCATCGCCGCAATATCGATGTACTTTGGCATAATATAGTTTTTTATTATAATTCGTGACTTGTTCCTTATGAGTTTTTAACTTATTTATAGGAAGTAAGAAATTATCATCTGAGCGCTTTGTAATCTTCTGGCTTATTTTATGCTTGTTGTTTTTGGTGGTATTCGAGTGTATCTGTATCTTTTTCAAATTCAAAGATGTTGTTAGTATGTATTTTCCAGGGAGTGTTTGTTTGTTTGGATGGATAAATGAGTGAGTGAATGAATGAATGGATGAGGTATTATTATAAATATCATGAATATTGTTGATGTATAGAATGTGCAAGATAACGAGTTCAAGACTTGAGATGCTTGAAGTTGCTTTTTGGAGAGTATATATATAATCTTATATACTCTTTCTAATTATCTCTTATATTCTTTATATCTATCTCTTCTTCTTGGATAGATTGAAGAGGGATTTATCTTTCTATATAACTTCTTTAATGATATGTACTTTAAATGATGTTTTACTTCTCCTAATGTAGAGTGTAGAGTGTAGATTGTAGAGAGAGTGGGAGAGTGGGTATATGTTATTTTGATAGATTGGTGTAGGTGCTGGTGCTGGTGTTGGTGTTGGTATTAAATATATATAATCATTTATAAGAATATCTTTTCAAGTCTGAACAGTGAGAGGATTGAAATTATTCTATATATATAGTTTTCTTTAAAAGATATATATAAATTTAAATATACAATATTAATCTTATTAAAAAAAATTAAAGTATTAGTTTTTATACTTTTGTCACGATTCATTAATTCACGTGACCTCGAGGACCTTTTGGACCTTAGGGTCCCAAAGGTCCTCAAAAGATGATATAGGGTATATAAACATTCATTTAGTCTCGTAGTTAAGGAGCTTTGTGCTCAACTTAGTTATCAATTAGTTTACCTACATTCTACTTGATCTAGTAACGATTTCACTTCCAAGTGAAGACCAGTGATAAAGCCTTAACCCACAACTACCAACCAGACGAAACCTTAGGCAGCCGCTGCCTCCAGTATAGTATCGTTACAACTTTAATGAAGTTTTTACAAAAAATGAATTTTTTTTTTTTAAAAAAAAGAGATTTATATTAGATTTTATAACTTCAATCTTTATATATATAAGGAAATGCAATAATTATTGATATTTTCACTTTTATTTTTTATTAATGTTTATTCTTTTTTTTTAATCTTTTTTTTTAAAATAAATAATAAAGAGACAGTGAAAATTAATATAATAATGATTTTTTATTTTTTGTCTTGTGTGACGGAAAAGTCGTAAACGGAGTCAATTCAATCACTTAGAATCTAAAACTAAAGAACTAAGAAGATTCTAAGTAAGAAGGTCTTTATATACAGGGCTAGTGCACGTGAGCCACTAGTGGGTAACAACCGTCACGTAACATCTTGTTTTTGTTCTTTCAAAGTGATATTAATAGAATTGTAAGAGTTAAACTATATCGGAGAAAAGTTTCTATAATTATATAGATGAGCTAGACTAAGATATCTATTTAATAAACTAGTTAAGTGTCTATATGAAACAAGTACAAAGGCTTCACTCAATCTACATTCAGATGTGTCGAAAATCAATCAATTCGTATTTTGTTGTTACTAAATCTAGTCATTTATGAATAGAAATATTCAATGAATACGACCACTAAAGGACTCGGTCCTCTGGTTTTCCAGCGGATCAGAGTATATAGTTATCAGGAACCATATAGATTCCGTAGGTCGAAGATATACTTTCAGAAGTTTCAGTTCAAATTTCGAACGATTATTTCCTTAATATTATCTCTACTATATATGAAATGAATATATTGTATTGTTAGTCCAAAAGACAGTGAGTGAGTAATATTCAGCATCCTGGATTTTTTACCACCTAAATAGAGTCTTGCGTTATTACTCCCCTTTACTGCCCCTTCAAACTTTTTCGCTGTAATATTTCTACAGCTCCCTTCACTCTCTAGATAAAGGTGAGATGCTCGTGAAGTATTGAAGATCATTATTTCGTTTAATTTGTTCCTTCTATCTGTGGATATCATCGAGCTTCATATATCGCTCGCTAAGGATATTGCCGAATTTAATAGGGGTGAAATTGCTATTTAAGTTTTCGGTAAATGATGCTACTAACACTGGTGCAGTAAAAACAAGACTTCAAACGTCAATATGTCAAATGTCGATACTATAAAAGATTAATGTTTAAAAAAAATAGAAAATATGAATGAGGATATTCAGTTCCGTCCTATCGTGACTACTGTGGCAGTTACTTGATACGTTGTTAGGCCGCTGTGCTCAGTGAAAATGATGCATCTTTAAAGTTGTTTTTGCCTACGAGAGGATCATATTAAGCCTAGAGTAGACCAGAAGCTAGGTCTCTCTATGATAGAAAAACGATAGCAGAGTTCGACTGAGATTCGATTTGACTCAAGTTAAAAATGAAAGAGTGTCATTCTTGATTTGCGACTTGAAAATGATGATAAATGAAAGTAGTACCCTCTTGTCAAAAGTAGAGATCATGGTTTTTGAGGTCTTCGAACTAGATAATTCTACGAGATTTATCTATGTGTAGAAATATCTATCGGCAAAATGGTGTAATATGTGTCATCGCCTTCACATCTTAGAGGACTAATAACACCGATATTTTCAATCAATTGAGACATCATCGCGTGAATTTTTACCTAAAGCTTATTTCTAGTATCAATCTCATGGCTCATACTTCGCAGAATTCTTCCTGCTGCGGCGAAGAATCTAGCCCCTTCATTTTCATTCATATTGGGTACTTCCCATATGTGAAAATCTGCGTCGTAAAACATCCTTGGTAATGCAAAGTGCTTTCGAAGTTGATCGGCGAGCCACTTTTATACAGTTGACGAAGCCGGAGGGCATGAAATGCCGCGAAATCTAGCTGCGGCCATAGCGATTTGTTTGGTGTCTGGGTAACTGATGTTTCTGGCATAAAGCGTCGCACAGTTTCTATACACGTGAGAAAAAATGCTTTGTGCCTCGTTGGGTTTTGATCCAAGTTTAACTATCAAAGCATGCTGTAATGTTCGATGCATAGAGAACGATAAATTATCGTCGTCACTCTTAACTCGGCGTATTAGTCAATGTCGAAGTAGGTTGGGCATTATTTCTTGCAAACTAAAACAGGTTGGGTTCATGTCAGATAAAGTAATTGACTCAAAAGTGTATAAAATGTACCACTCACTGATTTTTAGCATGCTCCAGTGCCCATGTATCGTTGTTCGTTTCCAAAAACTCAGTCATGATGTCTTTCGGTATGCTATCCGGCGAGAGAAAATGCCATAATATCCATAAATTTTCGTGCTAGACTCGAATTAAGTTTAAGCTACGTTAGAGCGATGTCAAAGGCGTTCTCGAGGCGTTTCTCATACTCCTCTACGGTCACAGGCTTTCTTGTCCCCGTAGAAGCGAACCGGCGATCAATTTGATCTTTGCACGTGCACTCACTTAGAGTCCCTTGTCTCTGGCTAACATAGCCACCAATATGAGCTAGAGCCTGTGCTAGGCCCCAAACATTTCGCACAATCGATTGGCTGCTCTCTCCTCGATGTGGTTGGGTTCCCTGTCTTGGTGAACAGACTTGAGGAGCAATTTGGCGCCCAAAGATATTTCCAGGTACTTCATGTCATGATTGATGGTGGCTCGGTGTTTCAAGCCTTCGAATTGCGAAGTCATCAAAATCACCGATTGCCCCTTACAAAATAAAGGAAATGTGGCTTGATAATCTTTCACTCTTCAACGTTGTCTAGTATTAGGAGCCATTTGATTTCTGTATCAACACGTCATTAATGAAGGAACAAGTTGTTAATTGGCTTCAGAACTTATCCGTAGTTTCGAGCCAATCCCATGACCTCTTTCATAAAATCTTGTGGGGGATGCACTGGTTTGCCGATTATCTTGAGCGCAGCCCGTTCATAAGGCTCGTTGAGACTTGCAGGGCTCTCTGCATTCACCCAGATGCGACATGCATATTCCTGCTGGTAATATAGCTGTACTCCACAGCGGATTGTGTTTCTCCAATCCCGCCTATTCCATGAATCAAACAAGATATAAGTTCGGATGTGAGTTTTAACTGTAGATTTTGAATGCGCCTGTGTAGCTATTACAACAAATGCTGGTCATGGAAATAGCTGGTACCGTGACATGTGATTGTTGAAGTTACTCACAGTCTCTGACCTCGGAAAGCCATGAGTAACCACTCGTCCATCGTAACCCACGAGAAGCTTGACTTCTGCGAATCGACATCTTTCGTCAAAGGCAGCTTTGTGGCCGTCGAATTTTTTTCTAATGTTAAGAAGATTCTCAGGACCCTTAGATCACCAAAGCGGCTCAATAACATCCCCTAACGATATTAGCATCTCTTGCAAAAGTGGGGGAGGTGATGCAAGCCCGAAGATTTCTTGTCACAGTATTTTATCACCCTCAGTCAAAACTACCCACAGTCTTCGTAGAAATTCCGCACAAGGAAGCCAAGATGCGCTTCTTAAGAGAATAGCTCAAATAGTCCTCGAATAATGGGAAGCACCTATAGAAGTTGGCCAGTAGATCGATAGTACCATCTATGTGTGAAGATCAGCGGCAGGAGGCCTGTTGCAGTTAGTTATTATCAGGACGTACCAAACAAAGTTGCTGGGTGTAAATAGTACCTCTAGCATAGCTATGCAGCCATCCAGACGATGGATCCAACTTCGGTGCTGGCTGCTGCTATTCCAATAGCCTTTTCGAAAGAGAGGAGGTGTTCAAAATGGGGCACCAGTTTCGTCCTGATGGTATTTGTTATTCCGCTATCTGCATTTGCCCGGTATAGCTCATTTAGGTTTCCTTCAAACTCGTTGAAAGTAGATCCCAGACTATCGGTTATTCTGACACCTCTCCTTCCTTTTCCCATATCCTCTCGTAGATTCAAATATACGCGGTTCCATGGGTGCCTATCCATATTTAAATCCAATGGGTTTTAAGTGATTTAAGTGCGGTTGTATGTATGAGATAATTATTTGTTGTATGTTTATTCGAAAGTGATGAGGTGGAGAAATTCCGACTACTTGTAGTTACCTATATGCTAGCACTCACAGTCATACTAGTAGTCATAGTCATTTTTTGCACTCACATGCTTCTTTGGTAGGGATCATGTCATACAGCTCTATATCTATTCACTCGTTCATTTCTGAATCGATATCTTCTCATCATCCATAATATTTGCTAGGCAATAACTTTTCCCTAATCATCAAAAGTAGCTAGGTCAGAACTACACACCAAACTTTCAAGCAACGTTTCCAAGCTAAGACAACCATATATCAAAATAAGATTTCTTGTTGGTCATGCAGGTTCTACGTCGATATTCTTTATCATAATGAATTTGGAGACCGTAATATTTGTTTCCAAGCAACCTGGATATCACTTTGCTCCTAGGAGGATAGATCTCTCTTTCTATTTCTCTTGTTTAAGATATTATTGAAGGAGAAGTTCTACTGATCATGAGCAACGCCAAGTCGTCAACTTAACCCGAATTTTGCTTCAAAATTTCGCTTACTGTCACACTCAAGGATACTGGGTAAAGTATCTTGTATTAAAAAATACTAAGCTAAGGAGAAAAGAAGGAAAACAAGAGTAGAGAGTTTTCCTGTGATTAAATACAAACGGGGCATGCCACGTGACCCGGAGGTGTGAGGCGTCACAGTCTGAAAGTAGAGTATTAAACTTATTTCTTTAAATTTTATTTGAATATATATACCCTTATCAATATAATATAAATCTGATTTTATAGCCGCCAAAAGCTAATAACCCTGCCAGCCGACCTCTTCCAATCGTCCCTTCTTTCCTACAACTTCGTCTTCCATTTTCTTCATGTAATCCTCCATTTTTGCAAACACGACACTGTCACTAGCCCCTATTATCCTAGCGGCCAACAATGCTGCATTAACACTGTTATTAATCGCAACAGTTGCGACAGGAACTCCTCTTGGCATTTGTACTATGCTCAGAAGACTGTCCATTCCATCCAAAGTACTACCCTTCACTGGTACTCCAATAACTGGAAGAGGAGTTTGCGCAGCGATCATACCAGGTAAATGGGCAGCTCCTCCTGCAGCCGCTATGATAACTTTGAAGCCGTTGGAAGCGGCATCACGTGCAAAATCTGCCATGAGTTGTGGTGTACGATGTGCGGATGTTATGGTAAGGAAGTATGGGATTTGGAGAGAATCGAGGATAGCGAGACCGGGTTTCAGGACGGGTAAGTCTGAGTCTGAGCCCATAGTAATAGCGACGAGTTTTTGTGTGGAGGATGGGGTTGAGATTGTGGTGGATGTGGATTTGGGGAGACCTTTACGGTCGGCACGCATGTTGTCACTAAGAGTGATTAGGGGGGAGATGAGCTGTTCGGCTTGAGCCATAGAATTGCCAATGACAGTGATGTGCCCGATTTTACGCGCTGGTTTGGATTCTTTTCCATACATATGGAGATTGGCTGTGGGTATTGCAGCGGCTTGTTGCATTAATTCTTTGTGGGAATCCTTTGATGCGCCGCCGAGGATGTTCAACATTATAGTTGCGGGGAACATTGAAGGGATAGTCGAGTTAGGGAACGATGGCATAATGCCTAATATCGAAAGGAGCTGCGATTTATATTGTGACATTGTTGGGCATGCTTCGATTGTGTAATGTCCCGAGCTTTAGTAGGATGATGTCAGTACTCGTTTGATTTCACCATTGAATTGCCGGGTCAAGGCACTTACTTATGAGGTCGAGGAGCAATCTCATTGACTAGCAGTTGACCATCTTCCATAACAAAGAGCTCAACTCCAAAGACACCCTTGCCCCAAAGACTTCCCACTGCTTTTCGCGCCAGGGCTTGTGCTTTCTTTTGGAGATCATTGGAAATTCCTCTTGCTGGAGCATAGACTAATTTGCAAATGCTATCTTCGTGAATTGTCTCGACAACCGGGTATGCAATGGTAGAGTCCCCATCCTTGGAAACTTCATTTTCAGTCTTCACAACCATAACCGCAAGCTCCATTTTGAAGCTTGCCCATTTCTCAGCATATAACGACCTATCCTTTAAAACTTCAAGGGCGTTCTTGATATCGGATTCTGATTTCACCGGACAATTACCTCGTCCATCATAGGCATCTTTCCTTGCCTTCAGCATGAATGGGTACCCGTGCGTGCGGCCAAACTCCTCAAGGTTTCCAGCTTCAACCGCCTGTGATGTTGCAGTTTGTACTCCAGCTTTGATGAGGTGCTCCTTTTGTAAATACTTGTCTTGGATGACTCGCAATGTCTTCCAGCCTAGTTGTATATTAGTGTTGTTCTAAAGTTTAAATCAAGATATCCACAATGAAAGACAAGATGGAAACCTACTGGGTTGCACTTCCACCCCAGAATTTGCCAGCTCTTCTAATACGTATGTGTCAACATGTTCAATTTCCACTGTCAAAACATCGACTTTCTTTGCAAGTTCGCGGATTTTCTCTGCGTCGATAAAAGAACCATCGAGATGGTCGTTCTTGGCATTTACTTGTTTAGCAGGAGAGTTTGGTGCATCAAGAATGATAACCTTAACACCAAGAGGATTTGCAGCTTCGCAGAGCATCTGCCCCAGCTGTCCCCCTCCCAAAAGTCCTACAGTTTTCTCCATGATATCGAATGGTGGGGGTGATGATGCGATTTGAGGTGCTTTGACAAAAGTAAAGTTTAACTTGAGCTGAGATATTAGATTCTATGCAGCTTTGACAATCTTATCAAACTGAGCAAGTGATGTAGCAATTCAAATGAATATCAAGTTGTGCGAAGGGTATATTTTCTCTTGATTGAAGAGCTGGATTTTTTTCGAAAATCTGAATTGGGGTAAATTAAATGACTGGCAAAAAGAAGCTACATTCGTTCACCGCTTGCACGTGTTAAAAGCGGTGAGTTTTCAAAAATCTCGTGACATATTACGATCTTATAGTTTCATAGTTTAATGTTATCGATGTTTTCCTTAAACTTCTTTCTCCATGTCTAATCTCGTTATGCGTAATAGTCTTGCTCCTAATATACACTTTGAGAACAGCTCTCAACCAGTGCTCTATTGTGCAAATGCAGTAGAACCAGAAAAGTTTCATGGCAAAGGACTATGATCTAACCCCCCCCGCTCCTGCTTAAAGAACCCTACTCAAGATTTCATTTATCAAAAAACACTAGCAAATTTATATCTTCCTTCCTTCAGGACGTATCTTCTGGAACTCCAGATTTATTCCTCGATACATGAGCTTCAGCCCAATACTTCCGTTGCCACGGCCATATCTCCTCCGTCGGTTTCCACTCCCAAATTGCTCCCGGCACTTTCTTCCATTCTCCGCACCACCATTTCCAATCCTCAACGGTCGGTATGAGATGCTCCGGAAACCACAAACAGTCTTCTCTCCACGATTGACGCGGTGGAGAAGCTTCCACTTGCACCGGTAATTTCGTCGTCGCAATGTCGTCTCTATCAATCGCCCAGAGATACTCCCATTCTCCAAAAAGATATGGTTTCTTCTCCCCGTTTTCTGGCACTGTGTACGCTTCATCGATAAACCCCATAACCATCCAGTCATCAACTCGTTGGTTCGGACCTTCAGATTGCAAAATTAGTTTCTTTACGTATTCGATAAAGGACTCTGCTGCCTCTTCGTACAATTTTCGATGATCTTGAGTGAGATCCTTGCAGGAGGTAGCTTGGGTACGGCTTCTGCTTCCGTTCATGGAAGCAACTCGATTCATTAGTTGATCAGCTAACAGAATTTTTGTTTTGTCGAAACCATTGTTTGCTTTTCTTCCGGTGAGACTGGTGTTACGATCAAGATTTCTGGGTGTGGTATTGTGAGTCGTTTCATTGGGTAGGTAAACGTGGCTAGGTGGTGGAATCGCTGAGCTAAATGCAGAGGACCACGTTGACCATCGAGTGGGCCACCAGGTGGAGTTTTGTGGTATTCCGTCGTTATAGTCGTGGATGTTATCCTGCGTGTTGTCGAGCCGCCATTCCAAATTATCCAATCCAGCACGGTGATGATTGTAGAGATGTGAAGCTTGTTCGTTCGGCCGTTCGGGCTCTGCAGACTCCATTATACCGGTAGTATCGCTGTCAATGCCTGGGACAAACTCTTTTCTATCAGGTAAATGTACTCGCCTAGGTGGTGTAATTGTCGTTTCGTATCCATTAGTACACTTGGTGGATGCTGGCGCTGTTTCGTTGCAGGAATCTTAGTTATCATCTTTGGCATCATCGAGATGGAGCTCTTCGAACTTGTCTGTTTCAGCAAGGTAAACTATAGAGCTATGAGAAGAAGTTTTTCCTTTAGACCATTCAGATCCTGCAGACTGTAAAATTGGCTAGTTAGCTTCCGGAAAAGTGGAGAATCAGAGCTTCATCAGAAAATGAAAAGGATGCACGGTCACTTGGAGCAGGAATTTGAGATTTTGGAGCGTGAGTTTAGAGGATTGAACTTACATCCTTTGATGGGACAAGTGTAACATCAAACATTTCGAGTAATGGACCTGTAATGTGTGTATTGATGAAATATTGTTGATTTGAATGGGGTTGTTCGGTTTAGAGCCGAAAGATGTCGAGGTGAAGAAACTATACAACACAGTGGTGATAGTCCTATGAATAATTTCTTTTCCTTTTCCGTTGTTATTGGATTCAATCATCTAATAGTCAATTGAATGACTTTGCGCGTGAATTTCGGATGAGAATATGTGGTTAACAACTACGAAATTGGTACTACGAAATACAATATAGCTCCAGATATCGCCCAGAATCAGACATATAAATTTCAAGCCTAGATCCCGAATTTTACAATTAAGTGACCCACTTTGCCCCTTTTCATCCAACTCGCTTGTTTCCCGTCACTAGTTCAATTGGCTCCTTTCCCTCAATCGCTCCATCTAATTCGCACTACTCATCCAAGGAGTCTCGCGAGTCTCTTTTGATTTCAGCCTGTAACAAAATTCCTAACCCCTATCCTTTCCTTTCACTGCGACGTTCCCTCCGAGCAATCATGAATATGCTCCTCACAGAACCGACCGACGTATCGAAATCCTAGGAGATAAGATTTCGGACTAACGCAAAGGCCAATTAGGATTGTTTGTGAAAGTTGTGGTGTCTGGCTTGAATAAAAGAGACGTGTTGGCTGCCGTTTCAATATGGCTGTTGAATTCATTTTCGTCTTCCTTTTCGACTTCCTCTTTAATTTCCTCCTCGAATCTCTCGCTGACTTTCTCCTTTACTTTATCCACGGGTGATTCGGGCGATTTCTTGGATAATTTTTTGGGGGACGTGAAGTTAATGTATTTTTGAAGCTTTGTTTGGGAAGCTTTGCGAATTTTTAGGGATGAGATTGATGTCGGTTGTGTAATGATATCAATCGTACGAGGTTGATCTTCTTCTATTGATGTACTCTTATTCATCTTCTCTTTCTTCTTTATCTTTTCCATCTTCCCCTTTGCTTCGGTTCGTTTGTTCTCTTTGCGTAGTCGTTTCTCGCCATTTGGAGATGAAGAGTCTTTGGGTCTTTGCGCTTTTAATTTTTGAAGTCGGAGAACATGAGGTTCAGAGAGACAAATCACTGGCAAGCTTGTTATACCTTCTTGAAACACGTTGCCGATAGATATTGGAGCTGATGATGTATCCACTACTTCCTGTGCCCTTGGGGTTAGTGGATGAAGTTGGATTCGCTGCGGTTGTTGCATCGGTGGTAAAGAATGCTTCTTTCTGTAATAATCGAGTGCAGCTTCATTACTAGCGAGTTCTCTACGAGCTTTGGAACGGTGCTGGAAGAAGACCATCTTGGCTGCGAGGAATAATCTGTCGATGGATTATTGTTCGGTTGTTTGTGATGTTTTTATGCGAGCTCGAGCAATGGGTAAAGTCTTCTGGTCGGTTGGTCTAACTAGGTCGATCTTCGATGGTGAAGGTAATATACATAGCTCTTGAAGTCATATTTTGCTGACTCTTTGAAATGTTTCGAATCATCAGTGTACATCTGACAGTCAACAATTCCATTCGGAATCTGAGAATAATGATGTACAGTCATGAAGAATGGGTTCTCAGCCAAAGATGAGTACCCGAATAGAGAATAAAAATACAGTGAATACAATACTCACCCGCCATACAAAACGAAGCAGCTCGACCTGAACCCAAAAACATGATACCACAATAACGATTCTCGGAACCCAAGCACCCTAAACCGAACTCGATAAGTCGCAGACATATCGTCGCTACATCCCTGAAGATCTGCGATCCCAACCTCCCCAACAATCTCGCCTCATCATCAAACGATAAACCCTCGCACACAACTCCCACAAATAAACCACTCCCCTACGCAAAAGTCAGCAGCTGAAAACCCTCTCTGGTAAATAACAAAAATCATACCGAAAAATCGCATGCTCGGACTCGAGAATCCTTACTTTTGAGGTTGCTCAAAACCCAGTGCATTTTTAATTTGTTCCATAGCTGTAGGAGTATCAGCAAGAGCTGGATTTTCCTTTCTAGGAATTTCTAGACTTTTAGGTCCTTCGGGTTCTTCTAGGCCGAAGGTGCTGAAGGAGGTGTATTCTGGTGGTCGATGGGAAGTTTCTGGATATTGTTTGTTGTTACTGGTGGGTTTGGAATTTGGGGATTTTTTGATGGGGTTTGTTTCGGTATGTTGGTTTGTGATTTCTTCTGGGGTTGGAGGCAGAGTGTGGATAGAGGCGGCTGGTATTGTTGTTTCGGGTAGTAGGTTTTGGAGGTTTGTGGAGGAGTCTGTGGTTGGATTGTGCATGACTAGTGATGCCTCAGGAACTAGAGAGCTTAGGTTTATAAATGAGTCGGGAGTGTTTGAGTTCTAGATAGTAGGTCATAGATTTTTATTTTGGGTATAGGCTTGTTGGAGGAATTGCAAATGATAAAGTAGTTAGTTATCAAAGGATTTGGGTGAGAAGATTGAAGATTTGTTATAGCTTTGGAAGCCGATACTAAACGTAAATGCGTGTGGAAGTTAGTCGGCATACGTGCATTGAATAATGAATCACCACATTTACCGTGAATGAATACTTCCTATCTTACTGATATCATCAGAGAATAGGTAGCTGCGGGAAATCTGAATCCGCGCTTGGCGCCGTGTCTTTGATTTCACTGGCTAAAGGATACTCCATATGAAAACTCATTCACATCTTTCATGGAATATGAAGATATAGAATGTTAACCTCTAGAGTTTTGATAATATCCTAATTTGCATATGCCATTCAGGTAACTTACTATCCCTTCTCCGCCCGACAAGTCCATGGATGCAAGATCTCTCGCACAACAAAGTCTTGACCAAACTATCAAAACATCAAAACTAGTATAAATCCCTATCATATATTTCCATTTCATAAAACAAAAGAACAAACTCGTTAGACGGCTAGCACTACTTCGTCTGTCATCATGCCCTTCTTTCATGATCTTCATATCCCTCAATACCTTTTGACCAATACGTTCTGTACTAATAACTGTCTTCGCAGCCTTCTCGACGTAACGGCGAATGGCGGCGCGTATCTTCCGCGGATAGTTGTATGCATTTGAGGTTATGATTCAGGTTGAGGCGACAGGTGTGTGTATAGGTTATTTAGATTCTGCATTGCTATGGAACATGATTGCAATTACAGAGATGTGTTGTTTGAGAATGCGTCGCTTGATTAAAAGTACTAAGGTACTGTGAAAGATATTAAAAGAAGCTGGTTCGAGTAGAGGTTTTCCTGTACAATTTGGATCACAGACTGTGACATAAGTCAATCCATATCTTACTCATTCAAATCAAATATAACGTATGTATAAAAAAGACCCATATCAACATCAACGGATTAACGGTTCCATCAAGCAGGAATCCGAAAGCGACCGAAAAGTGGAAAACCCCTATGTTTCTAGCAAAAATTCCGATTCTACGTGCCTCCAACGAGCTCCAGCTTGCCAGGCTCTTACTCTGAGGGTGTCCAATTCTATTTGATCATTTCGAGCACCGTAAAAGTCAATGAGAGCATTATTATGCGATTCGTAGTACCAATCCAGCTCCCCAAACCGAAGTGACAATATAGTCTTGTCGTGACTTCCATAGACATTCTCAAATCTCTTTGTTTGATATTTGACCAGCTGCGCAATCATCTTGTGCTTTGCATCCTGTAAGTCTTTTTCGGTCAACGGATTCGGGGAAATCTTAGGAACAGTTGGCGCTTTGTAGATATTGTTATTGTTAAGTGATGCGGATAATTGTTGGAGCCTTATGATGAATGGAGAATATGGAATGTTAAGGAATTCGTTGAATTTCTTCTCATAGCTGTACCATAAAACTTCTACGGCAAGAGCAGGAAGTGGGGGTTTTCCCATGAAAGGAGGCTGTGTGGAAAGCGAAGATGTCGTTGTCAGGGGAATGGTTGGGTCTTCATCAGGTACAGAATCCTTCAGTAGCATTATGTATTTTTCGGATGCTAACCCGACTTCTGATACAGCCATGGCAATTCTGCCTGAAATTGAAGAGTTTTTGTAGATATATCAAGAGATTTTGACCACAATATAGCTCTGTTAGCTTTTTGAAGTATCTTTGAGGACGTGGAGGTAAAAGCGTGGATATAGAAGATCATGTAATGTGTATCTAGGATGCTAATATGACGGCTGTCGACCACTAAAATTCTGAGAGTTGCAAGAGGTTTTCAATAAAGTTTGATTTTAATGAAAATAGCTTGGCGGAAAAGATACTTATATACAAAAGCTAGAAAGGATTATGATTTAAAAAATAAACAGGGTCATGAATTTTTTGAACAGTATGACTCCAAAGAAACATACTGTGAATATTCTTAGAACCATCAACGCACCGCCACTTTTCCATGTATTACTACTCCGCAGAGAGTTTGGTAGGCTTCAAGGTTGTGGCTTCGTAGTATAGAACAGCGTATTAAAGTACTAAAATATCTAATGATATCTTTTTGGGATGGTTGTCTTTTGTGAGCTGCCCGATGTACTCAAACAAAAAAAGAGGTTTCTTGATTTACCATCTTTGCTGTCTCAATCTTCTTCATATGCTGAACGTTATAATCTCTCTCCGGCTGATCCATAACTCCACAAGCAACATCAATTTCCAGTTTGATGAGGTACCCGCACTGGCTATGTATGATCTTGCACCCGATGAAGGTCATATAACCTCAGCTGATGTCTGAATTAGAGGACTTTAGAGGAAGAAATTTGCAGGGGCAATAAGGGAAACAAAAGTGCTTTAGCAAGAAAAGAAAGTATCATGAGAAGAACATAAAACTAGAATCCTTTTGTCAACTTGACGGGTAAAATAGCACAAGATGGTGGGTGGTATAAAGCCGTAGATGCATATGAATATCCACGTGACATAGCCATCACTTGATGTAACTAAATAAATATTACCAGGACGCAGAAAAAATTAAATAATGGTTCTTGTATGACAACAGGAAATATCGCAGGTACTGCTTTAGATGTGCCTGAGATATTGAGATGCCTGGGATACCTTGGTTGAAGTGCAGCTCATGGACAATGAGCATTAATCATCGTCAGGAGGCACCTAGTACCCAGTAATTGTTTCCTAACTGGCATGAGGCACCATAACAATCTCCTGACATCATCATCGTGTTCCCTTTTAAATCAGCTAGAAACTGTCAATATCATATACCAAGAAACCCCCTCGCCTTTGATTGAGACTTGGATACCTAGTAGACTGACCAGAAGCTTAAGCCAAACATAGCGAATATTATACCGCCATCAAACCTGTGAACATCAGAGGGCGTAACAAAGGATTTATACTCAGGTAACTAATTTCCATCATTCGAAAATGGATTTGCTCCCCACGTTCAGAGAACATTAACTATGAAGGATGGCTCGAGGGGGAATTCGATTATAGGACTTTGCAGAATGTTAACATTATGTAGGCTTTACCTGCTTAATACTGTCGAACGAATACCAGGTCTTATAACAAATTTGACTCCTCAATTAAAGTTTACAATCAAATGCTTTCTCAAGCTTATATATCTGTGTAAAGAAGTATATTTTGATGTTTGATTTATTTCGTCCCAGCGCGTGATATTTAATTGGTTCCATTCCCTAACTACCTATCAACGCCTGACGTCTAAACCAGAATACACATAACGTAAAAATCGCACGAAAATTGCGTCCTGAACTGAACTGCCTTCCTTCTACCTATACCACAGATCTATCCACGATACTGCTCCCTCAACGCCATCAACTGTGCCCTATCAGCAGGTGGCAAACTGTCGATTAATTCCTGCGGCATGGCCATAACTTGCGCCATCAGGGCATTTGTATCAGGCTCAGGGATTTGAGCTGGTGGCGGTGGAGCTTGTCTTTGTTGTGGAGGTGGCGCATAACCTTGGACTGGAGGCGTACCCATTATTGGCATACCCATTTGACCTGACATATGTGGAGGAGGAGGTGGGTATCCAGGAGGGTATGCCGATCCTCCATATTGCGGAGTTGACGCAACTGGTGGAGGAATGTTTGAGACGGGAGGAGCTGATGATGGCGCTGCGATAGATGACTCGATAACGGAGGAGAGCGCTTCAGGTTGAACGAGACCCATGAGGAGAAGGGCTTGGAAGATGGCGTAGGAGAGTTGGGGGGCCTGGTGCAGGAGCTCGGTGGCCTTCTGGGGGTCGGTCGAGGCTAGTGTTTTCATTTGGGAGAGGACGTCAAGAAGTTGGGATGGGGGAAGGGTGTTGAGGGTGCGAGAAATGGCGTCCGGGCAGTTGAGGCCTTGGGGAAGCTCAACACCTATTGGCAGAGGCGGTAATGATGATGTAGTTGAGGGTTGAGGAATTGGGAGAGATGGAGGTGGAACCGGAAGACCATTTGTGTTTAGAGGGGGAGGTTGATAGGTTGGTGCAGACTGTAAAAATACAAATTAGCAAATTGTTGTCATTGGAGACCGGATTTAGGTAGGATAGAAGCCCAACACACATTTTCCTCTTCACCACCATCATTCGAGAAGTCAACGCGCAGTTTTCGGTTCATGATTTCGTAGTCATTCAAATTCCTTACTGCAGAAGCCGCAGAATCTAGACGGGGCGCGCAAAGCTATTAGCAATGTAACCACGGATGCGCAAAGTCGCAAAAATGAATATGCAGTGTACTGCACATACCTGAATCGGGATATTCTGCGAAACCGAAGCCTTTTGGTCTGCCTGTTTCGCGATCATAGACAAGTCGGAAATTAATAACGTTTCCTGCACTACTGAAGATATCTACTATCTGTTCCTCGGTAAGGCCTTTTAAGGTGAAATAAATTAGCTTGGTACAGTAGAACAACGAGAGCCAGGAAGAAGGAGCAATAAGTTACCATAAGGAATATTTCCCACAAACACAGACTTTGAAGGTGGTTTTGACATATTGAAAGAGACAATAAATGTTCCAGGCTATGGATTGATTGATGTATGCGATGGAAATAGTTGAGATGGATTTTTAGTTGCAAAATGTTCGACTTTGAGAAAGGAATGCAAATGGATTGATCACTTCTTTTGTCACTGCAAAATTGAGAAGAAAAGGCACAGAAAGTCTTTGAAGAAGTGATTTCTGGCTACTCTAAAAATCCTTCTTGCTCTCTTCCCTTGTGAGCACTGACAATCCAAATCTCTCTTGTAAATGATGGAGTAAGAACGTTTTGATGAAAATGCCTCTGTTCTGAGTGAACCCGATTTGTTTATGTTGTTTTGAGCAATTGGAAATGAAGAATATCGGTCCGTCCCTTGACAGAATTCATAGTGAAGGTTCGGTTTATTAGTTCATCGCGCTTCACGACTTTCTTTCCCTTGGCGTCAAAGCTTGTGTGGAGTCAAAGGTGCGGCTAAATAAAAAATACGCTAGGACGGTTTTCGTTGATCTGATCATTGAGCTTCCCCAAGTACCGGCACCCCTCTCCGCACCACAATACACTCTCCTCAAGCCCCACCACAATAGTTTCGCACATCGATATTGTTTTCGTCCTCTCCAAGACCGCCATCATGTCGAATAATCCACAAGATGTTTTCAGAAGGTTGCAGAGAATAGCAAGTGAAGCGGGCAGAACTGGTGGCGGAGGGCCGGCACCAAAGGGAATAGCAGGTGGAATGGCTGCACTTATTGGCTTGGGTGGAATCATGATCGTTGGGAATAATGCCCTTTTCAATGTTGATGGTGGTCACAGAGCTATCAAGTATACAAGATTAGGCGGTGTTGGCAAGCAAATTTATAGTGAAGGTATGGTCCCTACTTTTCTTAGACAATTACGTCTATAAGAGATAATGTGCTGACGTTACGATTCGCATTCTAGGAACACATTTCAAGCTCCCATGGTTTGAAACTCCTATAGATTACGATGTTCGAGCAAAGCCACGCAATGTCGCCTCCCTTACTGGTACGAAGGATTTACAGATGGTAAACATTACCTGCCGTGTCCTCTCAAGGCCTCGAATCGACGCTCTTCCTCAAATCTACCGAACATTAGGTACCGATTACGATGAGAGAGTGTTGCCATCTATTGTGAACGAAGTTCTAAAGAGTGTGGTTGCGCAATTCAATGCAAGTCAATTGATCACCCAACGTGAGATGGTCGCAAGATTAGTCAGAGAAAATTTGTCGAAGAGAGCAGCTAGGTTCAACATCATGCTTGATGATGTCTCTTTAACGGTATGATTTATATATGGCACTTTAAGGAATACAAACATGCTAACATTTCACTAGCATCTGGCATTTTCGCCTGAATTTACAGCGGCAGTTGAGGCCAAGCAAGTTGCACAGCAGGAAGCCCAACGTGCAGCATTCGTTGTTGACAAAGCACGTCAAGAGAAGCAAGCTATGATTGTGAAGGCCCAGGGAGAAGCACGATCTGCGGAATTGATCGGTGACGCTATCAAGAAGAGTCGATCATACGTTGATCTTAAGAGAATCGAGAATGCAAGAGCAATTGCTCAAATCATTCAAGAAGCTGGTGGACGTAATAAGATGTATCTCGATTCGGAGGGATTGGGATTAAATGTCACCGAGGCATTTGAGGATAAAAACAAAAAGGCATAATGAATTGGAATTGTAATGGCGAACAAAATGAAATCTCCACTGTACTACAAGCGTATGTAGCATGTATATTATATCCCCTGGGAGGTGCAAGGCGTGCCATTCAGAGTTTAGGAACGAAGGTTTGAATGCATTATTTGAGCATACTTGCGCTTTTTAGTCGATTAAATTCTCACCACCGCCGATCGAGCAAAGTGCGCGAAAGCAATCTCAAGAATGAAAAGGGGCTATGATCAAAATTTTTACCGACAATTGAATGTCCAGAGTCAAACTTAACCTTTAGCCATTTATTTTCTTCTAAAGTCGTTGAAGGGTTTAGTCATTGTAAGATCCAGATTGTTTGATAATCTACTTGAAGCTCTTCGCCAGCCGTTTCCTTCAATGATCAGCTTATCAGATCTTGAACCACAGTGAGTGAGTCCAATTCAGACTGCAGCTCAGCTTAGGACGGCTCCCAAAAATTTCAAGACACAAGATCATTTTCCTAATCCCGTGCTAGTCACGTGGTGACATTCGTCCACTTGCCAGCTCTTTCCCTCCAAACAATTTGCCATGGCGTTTCTTGGCGCTTGGCGCTTATAGCCAAGACACTTCCACCTGCCATTTGGAGAAATAGCTTGAGATATCATTTTAAACGACCTTCCCCTCATGTTTAGATTGGCCTAGCCTCACACTGGAATACAGGAAACTCGGAATCGATACGAGTGAGTTGGTCGGGAAAGGATGAAAAACCCCATTTCCATTAGTGGCGTCCCCCTAGGTCGATTATACCAAACAGTCGGAATTACCTTATGGAATCCTGAAATCACGATAAGACGAATGTTGCAGGGGAAAACCTTCTCCGCATTTTGTGTGATATTACAGTATTCTTTGGCTGAGAACTTCAGATATAGACTTGTCGATATATTTACCGTTATGGAGCTTGGCACTATAGCACGACATACGGGTGCTAGATAACAATCCAATTAGCTGGTCTCAATGGGATGGTTGATGGATATATAAAAGCTCGGCCCTTGCCTAAACACTTGCCTTTTGATTCCATTCCTCTTCTGCTGATTATCTCTCAATTCAACCAGGACATTCTCTCATCATGCTGTTCACGATGAGGAGTTCTTTGTCGTTGCTGGGACTCTTGTCCACAGGACTAGTCCATGCTACCTACACCAATTCTACACCGACATTCACTCCTCAAGCGATGTTGAGTGCTCCTCGTCGAGGATCAGCAATTCCAAATGCAGACGGAACGCTTGCACTGTACACCGTGGCTACCTATTCATTTGAGGAGCATCACAATGCTCATGAGCTTCGTGTGATGAATCTTGCGAACGGCACATCATGGCTTTTCAGCAATTCAAGCGCAATCAGCAATGCTAATGTAAGCTTGATCTGTTCACCTAATCCTCTGTTACTACCTAGTACTCTTCGCCGATCTCAAACCTTACTTTTATGTTTCATCATATACACTCCTCCTGATTGCCAATTGCATCTTGAACAACTCATTTCCTCATTGAACCCCAATATTGTTTCTTGATAGGCAATACTAATTCCTCAATCTTTTAGTGGCTGGGTGATGGAAGCAAGATTATCTGGTTTGTATCGGAAGATGACGGATCTACTAGCTTTGTTGTTGGAGATGCGACAGCACCAAGTGCCGAGTGAGTATCCTATTTCGTTCCATCGTGTGATCTTTTACTCGCCACCATATTATGGAAGCTTCAATACAATTTTCTACTCAAGTTTTAGACTAAATCTGACGTCGTTGCAGGTCCGTCTCGGCAGGTTCTGTTCCTGGATCAGTTGACAATCTTAAACTCGTCAGCATCGGCAACGGAACTCTCGGAGTTGCATTCAGCGGCCAAGCTTCACCTAATGGTACTCTTTACAATGCCGAGCTCGCTTCAACACCCTATACCACCGGAAGAGCTTATACCTCAATTTTTGTGAGACATTGGGACACATGTAAGAGCTCAACACTCATGTCAGTGTCTAAGGCTAATTTAAATTAGACATCACGCGTGAGAGAAACAGCCTTTGGTATGCCGCTTTATCAAAGTCTGAAAGCGGTTATACACTCAGTGAACCAGTTAATGCTTTGAATGGTTCTGGTCTTGAATCACCAGTTCCGCCATTTGGTGCAACAAACAGGTGAGTGACTGATGCCATATTCTTGCTCGAGAATTTTCCTAACAAGTGAACAGCTTCGATATTGGCACAAAGGGCTTATCTTTTATCGCCAAGGATATTACTTTGAATCAAGCCACCACAACCAAGTCGGATGTTTACTACGTACCGTTGAAAACATTTACCGAAACCTCTCCAGAACTCAAAGTAGTTTCTACTCCTGATCTCGAAGGGGCTTCTGACAATGTAGTTTTCTCACCCTCCGGGTCATCACTCGCCTTTGTCCGTATGAAGCAAATCAGCTACGAAAGTGACAAGAACCGTATTTTACAAGTAGCAGATGTCACTTCCGATTTGACGGCCGTTGAATTCTACGCCTCGGAGGATGGAAAGGGTGCCTGGGATCGTAGCCCAACTACACTTTGTTATAGTCAAGATGGCGAGTCTCTCTATGCAGTAGCTGAAGACTTTGCCAGGGTCCGATTATTTACCTTGTCTGCTGATCCCGCAAACACAACCCTTCCATCCATTATCTTCAAAGACGGCGGTGTAACAGACCTCCACCAACAAGGAAAGGATAAAATACTTGTTAGCAGCTCAAGCTTCCTTGATAACTCCGTCTTCTCCTCCGTTGATCCTATTGTTTCCGCTGCCACTAATGCATCGTCTGGTGTCACTACCATTTCCGCCAACCTCGATAGTCTCAAGGCGTATGGACTTGCTCGCGACTTCATCTCCGATATTTACTACCAAGGCGATGGTGATTACCTAGTCCATGCCTGGGTCATCAAACCTAGTACATTCGTCGAAGGTCAAACATATCCTTTAGCATTTTACATTCATGGCGGTCCACAAGGAGCTACAGAGGATCTTTGGAGTAGCCGTTGGAATATGGCCGTCTTTGCTGAACAGGGCTATATCGTCGTTGCTTTCAACCCCACCGGAAGCACAGGTTTCGGTCAAGAACTCACCGATGGGATTCAAAACCAATGGGGTGGCAGACCCTACAACGATCTTGTCAAAGGCTGGGAGTACATCGAAGAGAACCTTTCATTCGTTGACACCGATCGTGCTATCGCATTGGGTGCTAGTTATGGTGGATACATGGTAAACTGGATTCAAGGCCACCCTCTTGGACGGAAATTCAAGGCTTTATTCACACATGACGGATGTTTCTCCACTCTTTCGCAATACTCCTCTGAAGAACTGTGGTTCATGCAGCATGATTTTAACGGAACTCTTTGGGAAAACTTCGACAACTACGCGCGTTGGAACCCGGCAAATCACACGGATGCGTGGTCGACACCTCATCTCATTAACCACAATGAGTTAGACTATCGTCTTCCAATTTCTGAAGGCATTGGTGCTTTTAATGTCCTTCAGGCAAAGGGTATCAAGAGTAAATTCTTGAGCTTCCCGGATGAGAATCATTGGGTTCTGAAACAGGAGAATAGTTTGGTGTGGCATAAGACGGTTTTTGATTGGTTGAATGAACACGTTGGCTTGCCTGAGTATTCTAGCCCTGGCGATTCTGATTATAGGGCGGTCTTGCAGAGTGGACCTTGGATCTGAGGATTGGAAAAGCATATCATGAAAAGTTTATTAATAAGATAGTTTTTATATGTAATTTAAAGTATATTTTGCTTCATATTTGTTCCCCGGGCTTTTGAATGTGTGAAAGTTAAAGTTCAAGTACATAAATCTTCTACAACCAATACATCATATTGCCATCGCAATATGTAGATAAGCTTCCCCGAGAAATTTATATCTCTGGATCTAGACCTTGCTTCCATGTTCGAGGATGACCCTAGTCACCAAAATCATATACGACAAATCTTTGTCTCATATCTTCGATTACGGTGCTTTTGGTATGGTATTTGATTAGTACAGGATTGTAATAATGAGGTATAGCACGTGATTGAGAGCTACCCCACTTCCTAGTGCTTTCTGATAGATCTTACCTAGAAATCGATCTAGTTCTCTAGTCAACGTTAGTATCATCATGTTTCATTTCTATTAGAGTTTCCTTCACTCACTTCTGTTTCTAGCCTTCTTGATTACTTTTATACTGTCAGCCGCAAGGCAGAGTAACATTTTGCTACTATTAATTATGTAAATTAGTGGGACAATTCAAGGATTGGCATTGGCTCTTGGGGCGATGGGGCGTTGCAGTGGTGTGAGATTTTGGACCCCAATATTTGTGAAGCTGAAATATCGTTGTCCCATTTATTTGTTGTGTATTAAAACGAGGTCTCACAATGTTGGACGAGCTGTACAACACCGCCAATCGAAATCTTCCCGTTGATTAAAGGCCAGCAGTTACGCAATACACAGCCTTATCTCCGAAGGACAGACATCGAAAGCGATGAGCTAAATGATGGAATAATTCCAGCGTCGTTTTACGGAGATAGTCGTGGTAATCAGGCATCTAAGCTTCCTCTGGATAAATATACCATCTCCTTCGCATCTCTTCGTTATTTGAGACATGGGTAGGCACGTCTGACAACGATGCCTTGTGGTACCAAAAACTAAATGGCATTTTAGACGATCGAAACACCATGGATGAATTGCCTGCTGTATATTTCAATTCTCACAGCAATGGTAACTCGGCCATGCCATCTGAAAAGACAAACATACACATGTCTCAAGATGAAGAGCTAGTCACAGTTCCTGTCGCAAAGCTACAGCAATTAGTAGAATATGGCATTCAAGTATTAAGAGAAAGCAGGAGCAGAGCAAACGTCGGTGGAATTGACCTAGAGAATAATGTAGCTCCGGTGCTAGAAGCATCTTCTGCACTGCGCCCTTATCGTCCGAACCCCAAATCTTTCCAAGTCGCGTTGGTAATTCGATACTAATGGGTAGTTCCTAGAAACACGACCTGAGGTTCCACGATCACAAAACCGTCCAAAGCACCTAGATGAATTTTTAGCTCGGGCTTGTGCCAATCCCTGGCCAATTCGTAAGATTGAACTAAACCGTGATCAAGTGATAAACCTAGGTCATCTTGGAGAACCTTTCAGCAGATTTGATCGCTCAAAGTTTTATAGCGTTTGGGACAATCACTTCAGGACCTTCTTTGGATTCGGCCAACAGTCTGTGTCTGCTACAGAGGCGGTGCGAAGAGAATGGTTTTGGAAACGAATACTCAATGAGTGTGACGGAGAAATGATACCGTGGTTGCTCGAAATTGGGACTGACGATCCTGACGCTCGAGCAGCAATCCTGGTAAAGATCCTAATCTCCATTGTCAAAACGTCAATTGAACTGAGGAACTCTACAACTTCAACAATCGGGGCTATTATTGAGCGGTGCTATGCAAGCGGAGTACTGAGGCAACCTGAAGATGCCCCGTTGAACCCCGAAAATGTTATTTTTCACACTGAACTGAGGCAAGATTATGGCATCCATATCCTTTTGGTTGCAATATCCTTAAAAATATTCAATGATTGTTTAATAGAAGATGATTTGGGCCTGGTTCACAATAGCCGTCAGATACTATGGTCTCCCACGGATCTTTTAAGAGACGCTTGTGGAGGTGCCAGTCTTGAACAAATTCTTGCTTTTCAAGGACCAGAACTTGTGGTATCTATTCTATATTTGTCGAGAAGTACAAAACCACGGATGTCATTCGAACTGTCCCACACAAATGCTGGACGAATTGATGATCTAAATATCGAGTCTTTAAAGTCGATCGGTGATCTTCGGGTAGTCTGGACGGATATATTTGAAGAACATCTACTTTTGAATCATCAAAAGAAATATCTGAAAATTGCGCGCCTGCGGCCATTTATCTGGGGAATGTTGAGTATTTTCCAGAACGACTGGTCAGTCCTATTTTCCCAGAATTTTAAATACTGTACTAAGGTGTTGATAGTATTCGGTGGTCTAGCATATACCGTGAACCACAAGAGCTGTCAGTTTTGAAGGAAGTAAAAGCTGATATTGAAAAGACATGGGCCATAATTTTCTCGATATCACCTCTGGGGGAGAACTCCAAGAATAAACTGAAGATCAGGGAAAAGCTTAAACAAGAGTACGAGACGGTCACGGATGAAAATCAAAATCCAGTGAACACCTGCAGCATCGAAACCCTTAAACAATACCATATGCCATGGATAGAGGATGACTCCGCAACCGGCAGAGTGCAATCATACTACGAATCACGATGGGAGAATCTCCAAGGAATTATTCAAACAAAGCAAAACAAAAGCACCATAGATTACTCCAATTTTGGCATGTTCGAGGATCGTGTTCAAGAACTTCGACAGTATATGGACAGTCAAAAGCCGCGTGGTTTGCGGCAATTACTGCGAGATTCTAGGGATGCCCTTAACTATTATACTTTTATGGGTGTCATTATCTTCGGACTGCTGACGGTTTTTCTTGCTTTGGCGTCTTTTGCGGTTGGGGTCGCTCAGGCGTATGCCTCGTTCAAAGCGTTGGATATGCCTTCTTATTAGCAAGAGACTTTCTATATTTAGTACAATCGAGGTCAGGAGGGAATGGGAACGGATATAAAGTCCCTTTCAAGCAAGATTTCGTCATCTTCCGCCAAGAATAATTCAACAAACATGGTCTTTTAGACCCTGAGAGGGGAGGCTTTCGAATTTAAAGAGGGGAACTACTCTTAAAAGCTATCACTCAAGTTACTAAAAGACGGGCGATGGACAAAGGGGTATAATTCTTCAGTTATCGATACAGGAGTTTATACAAGGACTAGAAGAGGGAAATTGTCACTTTGCGATTCTATCATTTGTTTGCTAATTATCTTGTATTTCGCATCTTTAGAATATAAATACACCGTCATACCCTGATACATCAGTCTAGCTACATTCTCTTTTCCTACTTTGCTATGTTTGTAAATTCGCCGCTGATTCCCGTTTCCTCGAATTGATGTCGTGTGTTGATTTTCTTGCTGCCAATTCTAAACTTTTGACGGATTTATTGTACTTAAATAACTCGAATTTCAAACATTATACATTTCTACAAACTAGATATTCTAATCTTACATTTCGGTACCTGATCCTACATACTCGCGAAAAGACGTGGTTGGCTGAAATTTGTAGCTATCTCTGGCAAGACAAGAAGGTTTCGGGACGCAGACGTTTATTTTTTCTGACGAACTTCTGTATTTTGGAGGATAGGAATAAGTTTGGGGTTTATTTGGAAGTTTTGTTTTTTATTGTTTAATTATGAAATAATTGTTATTTTATTGTTTAATTATGAAATATTGTTATTTTAGTTTGTTGTAAGATCTTCACTTGTAAGGTTAAGGTTAACTTGCTTGTAGTAGCATTTTCCCCATATGCACGCTCGGACCTGTCATGTCACCTGCTTTAGCTTGATTGGATGATATTATGCTGAGCTAATTGCTTAGTGTAAGGGGTTTCCCGACCTTCACATTCTCGCTCTCCTTTACCCCACGATGCCTTAGTCCCTGTAGCTAGCCTAGCATATATTTAGTAAGGACATTTTAGCTTACTCGGCAGTGCTTCCTTTCCTCGAAATATCATACATTGTAACCTTACCTTAATCCCTAAAGACGCACCTGCACCCTTCAGTCTGACCATGTATTTCGATCCCGTCGCTCAAGAGAGACAAGAAGGGAACTTCAAGATATGGCTAGGACAATTACTGAAAGGAGATCCCGAGCAACTCGCCTGTCAATTAGCGAAAACGCATCGACCAGGTCACAAACTCGGCGCGGCACTTTGGAAAAACGGCGCCTACAATATCTGTTACAGAGTAAGATACGAGGCCGGTTTTCACGCCATTGTTCGATTCGCTCCACTGGGAAAGACTGTATACCGTACTGAAAAAGTAGAGAATGAGGCTGTTGTTCTTCAGTATTTGTAAGAACATGCTAATGTTTCTGTTCCTCGAGTACTTGGTTGGGGAATGTCTTGGGTTGGACCGTATATTGTTGAGGAATTTATCGAAGGTGATTTGGTCTCAAATGCTTTGAAGGATCCTACGCAGAAAGGACGTCCAGATTTAAACCCGAGAATCAGTGATCGAGCTTTGAAGGTTGCCTATCGTGCTATGACTAACATTGTTCTTGATATGTCCAAACCAGAGTTCAACCGCATTGGTTGTCTAGTGCGAACCGATGAAGGAGAGTACACAGTTGGCAGGCGACCTCTTTCAATCCGCTTGAGCGAATTTTCAATATCAGCTAATCTAGCCCCGGAACATCTTACCAACTCGACCTTTACCTCCTCTGTTGAATATTTTGATTTATTGGCCCAGCAACATCTCGACCAGCTTAGATATCAACAAAATGATGTCATTGAAGATGAACTAGATTGCAAAAAGAAATATGTATCTCGCTGTCTATTTCGTAGAGTTATTCGTCAAGTCTGTGCAGAATATTCCAACGAGCCATTTAGACTTCTCTGCGACGATTTTAGACCTTCAAATGCCCTTGCCAACATGGAGCGATTCCAGATTTCAGCAGTTGTTGATTTAGAATTTTCATATGCAGCTCCATCAGAGTTTACATACGCTGCACCATGGTGGCTCTTATTGCAGGGTCCCGAGGACTGGGAGGAAGACCTAAATGAATTTCTCACTCGCTATAAACCGCGTCTTGAACTATTTCTCTCCGCGTTGAGAGAATGCGAGGAAGAACAGATGAAAAATGGAAAACTTCTTGAATCTCAAAGATTATCTACTCGTATGGAACAATCCATGCATAATGGTCTTTTTTGGGTGTGCATTGCAGCAAGACATAGTCAGATGTTTGATGAGATATATTGGACATTTCTTGACGAAAAGTACTTTGGGCCATTATTTTCGCTTGATGATCGGGTGGAACTTCTGAATGAAGAGGAAAAGAATGAGCTTAGTACGATTTTTGATCTCAAGCAGGAGCAGGCTAGGGATAAAACTTTTAATGTGCATTATCCTGCGAGGGAACTCATGAAGCTCTAGAGTTTTTTTAGTTTTTTTTATGGATATAGTAAGTCCTATTTTCATCGTCGTTAATCATGATTTTGTGACTGTATTTTTTTTTTAATTTATTGATAGATTTGACATTTACATACCACATTATCCAAAGCTACCTATCAACAGAATACAGGATAGAGAATACTCAAAATGATGGTTATGGTTGCGGTCTGGAGAGATTATAGAGTACTTGGGGCTGGCGATGCAGGTATTTTGTAGGACGCCATAACATTAACGACAAATAAGTATTTGCGGTAGAAGAGATTGTTTCAATAGGTTGTTCAATCACTTTATCATGTTATTCCTGCTCCTCGACTTACCATTGATTGATTTCTATGCCGGCAAAGTTCTGCCGTTTATTCCTATTGTTTGTTTTTTCAATGCTACTCATCGCATAACTGTCACATCTTATGATGATTTACATATTTGTCTCCATCCAAAACCTTTTATTTCATCCCATTCCCTTTTTTCCCATCTCACTTCCTCTACTTGACCGCCTCAAAAAAAGAACTCCTCAACCAACCAAACCAAATATCCTCCTATCAAAAAAGTATCCACTTCACCTCACCTCACCCCACCCTATTCCACCCCATTTCCTCCCTCAAAAACAACAACACTAAAACCCCCAGCCACAACAGCCAGAACTCCCAATCTACATCACGTAGTGCAATCAAAACATCTCAAAACACACCAACAATACCTTCCAAAACCAAAACCATACTCTATGTATTTAGGTATACACCCTCTGATCAAAGTAATCTATCTTACCACAACGCTAATAGAAGAGCGTGATGTTGATATTATCTGCAAGGATGAGAAATCCTACTCTTGTGTTACGAGGTGTGTGGGAAGTGCTGCGCTGGATGAAGTGAATGGTGACGATGTGATTTATTATCCCTACAGGATATGGATGTTGAAGGTTCCGCAAGAGATTGTTTCTAGCGTGCGAAGACTGATTGTAAGATTAGGTACATATCACCTTGTGTTATTTGCGAACACATCAATAATCATACAATGATTATTAGTATGATTCCCCTTTTCTATTTTTCAACTAGCTAGTTGATCTCATTTGGATCTTTTGGAATATAGTTGATTTACTACAATAGCGTGATACTCCATTCGCATCAGAGCTAATTCCCATTATAAAAGCAATTATAGCAAAGCAATATCCTCACACGTGAGTTTCCCTTCCAAAAACCATGATCAGCTTCGAATCTCAGCATCTCTTTAACATGAGCTGAGATAGAGCCACTGCAACAATTGAGGAACCACCTCTGATATGAATTTCCTTCAGTTCCTTAAATCAAAGAATAACTGAAGTAGGATAACAATTGACACTACTAAAAGTGCGCCAATAGGAGAAAAATATTCTTCGCCATTCCCAACCTCATCCCCTTGAAGCGTCAAGTCTTCTCCTCATAGCCAGGACTTCTTTACATACCATATCAACCCATACATCATACCTATCTACAAGTTAGCTTATTTCTCCACAATTCTTCAAGCCAGTCACATAAACACAAAAAGCTACATACTCCGAAATCCCATCTCCCCAATCAACCCTCTCATAAACACCCTTCTCCTCCTCCTCCTTAGCCGTAAACCCAGGTCCTCTCCCAATCTTCCTATCTGCCCTTTCCGTAGCCCCAACCCCCATAAACAAAGCTTGCGGCGTAATCCCCACACATCTCGCTACAAATTCTCTAAACTTCTTATCTGGTTCTATTGCTTCCATCGCGCTAGTACCACTAGTACCACTCTTAAAACTGTCACTTCGAAAACCAATCAGACTGCTTCCTATTCTAGACTTTCCAGAAGTCAGGTGTTCAGCAGTGTGTTTTGAGTTGGGGGATGAGAGTTGATTAATGCTTGGGTTGGGAGAAATGGGCGCGAGACCTCTAGCCGGACGACCTTCCATTCGGAGATAGAATTCATCGCGGGAAATATCGCGGCCCATGGCTCGCACTGTTTGAGTGTGTAGCCGAGAGAGAATGTCGAGATCGCAAGCATGAGCACCGATGGCGCAGAAAGTTGTTGGGTCTGTGTTATTTTGTTAGAAGAGGGATTTGTTTCAAATGAAGAGTTGATGAAAGTGCAGGAGGGTAGCTTCTGCAGCGTGTTGAACGTAAGGCCATCACTTACGGATATTTGGCGGAAGAATTGGAGATGGAGCTTCAGGTATCTGTGATATCTTTGGAGAGAAAGTATATGAAGTAGTACGACTTGCATTGCGTTTTTCGGAGGTGAAAGACATTATTCCTGGTTGATATGTATGATTGTGTAGAAGATATGCTGAAATCGACACCACGTTTGTAGTCAGATCCTCTACAATGAAGCTTTATCGAATACAGCAGATTGTTCAGAGACAAGGTGGTACAGAGAAAGGAAATCTAACTCAAGGAAACGATTCAACAATGAAATAAATACAGACCTTTCTGAAAGATAATGCGCAAATGTAAAAAATTAGATGAAAGTGATTCACTATCTGTTTCTGTGCTGTCGAAAGTGAAGGTGACGGAAACTCAAGCAAAGATCGGACCAACTGAGAATTGTTGGTTTGTAGTTCGTAGACTATTAGAGAAAACATCATTGAATGAGAACTCTCACGAATCCTCAGGTTATGTTATCTTTCATCTCCTTGGGGAAGGTACGTTTTTCTAGAATTCATTACTATAAAATTAGAAGAGGAAGGAAGTATCTAGGTTATCTCATCCTCAGACCCTTCTCCGCTTACCTAATCTAAAATCTATAAATTGGTTAATTGAAGGTATGTAGAGTATTATTGTAGGATCTTTGAACGGTCTGAAATATTTTAGTTTTTGTTTTGATATAAAAAGTAATAATTTGATCTTTATTTAATTATTATATAATATATTAAAAATTCATTGATAACTACATATTTTTGATATAGATTTAGTAAATGTGACGCCTCACACCTCCGGGTCACGTGGCATGCCCCGTTTGTATTTAATCATAGGAAAACTCTCTACTCTTGTTTTCCTTCTTCTTTTCTCCTTAGCTTAGTATTTTCTAATACAAGATACTTTACCCAGTATTCTTGAGTGTGACAGTAAATAAAAATAATTTTTCTTTTCATTTTGATATATATTATATTATTATAATATTATTCAATTAAGAAAATATATATTGTTCAAAATCCAAAATAGTATTTTTAAAAAGTAATATTTCAATGATTCAAATATTCAATTCTGTTACGAGGTTTGCCGTCTAGATCACGTGGAAGTGCTCTAGGCTCTCGAGGTGGTTTATAACTAGGCGTCAAGCAGGGACTTAAGTAATGACAATAATGAAATGCAATTCATAACTAATAGTAGGATATACTAAATGATTGATCTTGAGCACGAAGCTCTATACAAAGGAAATCCATCTTGATTATATAGTCCTTCATGCTTCCATGATTACTAGTGATCCTTCATGATCATTAGTGATCATTTATATCGTGATCCTTAGTGATCCTTAATGATCACCAGTGATCACCTATACCGTGATCCTTAGTGATCCTTAATGATCACTATTGATCATTTGTGATCACGTGTCTTGGTAGTTGTGTAGCCCGTCGTAACACTAGATCACGTGGAAGTGCTCTAGGCTCTCGAGGTGGTTTATAACTAACGTAAGTCATGGCGTAATGCGTCTAATGGCGTAATGCGTCTAATTGCGGGGAACCACTCTATTAAAATCTCAATTACTCAACAATCAACTATAATACAATCTCCAATATCACTTTCAGATTCATCTTCAACTTCTTCTCCAATATCCTCTTCAGTTTCAGTCTCATATTCAATTACTTTCCCTTTCCCTTTTCCTTTTTTCATTGTCTGTACTTTAGTAGCTTTTTCGGCTTCCACTACTGCATCACATAATTCTTACGTAGAAATATGAAAATGACCCTTCAAAACTAGTCTCTTTCCTTTCTTACGTATCGTACGTTTCTTCATAATAGCTCGTAAATTATTCGCATCGTGTTGGTGAACAATACTTTGAGCTCGAAGTTGCTCACTCCTAATCGTCAATTTTCGAATGTATTGATGAATCGGGGTTGAAAGAGTTGTATCATTTTCAATTGTTGAATTTAAAAGGTTATTTGCTATTTGTAAGATTGCTACATCCGGGGGTGAGCTATTGACAAAGACTTGATTAAAAATATCAAATTGGGTTGGTTCTTTGGATATTTCGATTTCGGGGGTAAACTCTCGACCCAGTGTACGGAACACTCTCTGTGGATTAAATGGATGTAACCCAGCTCCCCGCCATGCCGATTCGATATTTTGATGATGGCATACATCGGCTCGAGCTTTAATATATGCCTCCATCCATTCAATCTTTTGTATTTGTACAAGTTGAGCTTGATTCAAATCAGAAAGTGCTGCGGTGAGCCGTTTTTTCAATGGACCGAAAACCGCAACATCAAGTGGCTGAAGCAAATGCGAGGTATGAGGAGGAAGTATAAGAAGTACAATTCGATTTTGAAGGCAGTGAGCTATAAAGTTTCCACTAATATGAGAATCGTGGCCATCACAGATGAGAAGCCGATATTTGCCATCTGCTTTTGCACAAGTTGCAGGTTCGAAAACGCGTTTTAGCCATTCTAATCCATGAAGATTGCTTGTCCAGCCCTTTGTATTTGCTGAAAAGAACCAACTACCAAGAACTTCCTTCGGAATCCAATTTTGAAGGACGTTTTTACCTTTAAAAATCCCGAGTGGTGGAAGAATGGATCCATCCACACAAATACACTCTACCATTGAAATCCACTCTTGACAGCCTGGATGTGCTTGATGTTTTGTACGAAGTGTAGAATCGATAATAATTCGGGTTGATTCCATTGTCCCAATTGAATGTCCAGATTCATCCATATTGTATTCGTCTTTCTTCTCAATTCCATAATCCTGAATCGCTTTTTGATACGCGTCAAACCAAGTACTACATGTTTCCCTGGTTGCACCATCCATTCTTACAGATTCAATTCGACGGCCAATAACAACTGTAAGATGAGGATGTCGTTTGATAAATCGTGGAACCCATTCATAACCAAGAAGGTGTTATGATGGGAGTTCAAGGGAGTCAAATGAGGGGCAATCCAAATTATAAGTCCGTTTTGAACGTAACTCCTCAACCAATTCTTTTAACAATTGATGGCCTGGTGAATAGCCGCTAATTGTCAATTGCTTTATCCACTTAAGAAGTACATTCTCTTATACAGCAGAAAGTTTCTGTTGCGATTGACGTGCTTCAGAACGCGATGAACCTCCTTTGACGCATCGCGTCACAGTATCTTTAGAAAGCCCCAGTTCTTTTGCAGCTTCATATGAAGACTTATACTTTCCATTTTGAACTCCTAATACTGCTTCAGCAAGTCGAGATTCCATTTCCTGCACTTTTAAACTTTTTCGACGGACCATTGTTGAATTGTTGCTTTTTTGATGGGGTGGTCCCCCACAATTAGACGCATTACGCCATTAGACGCATTACGCCATTAGACGCATTACGCCATGACTTACGTTAGGCGTCAAGCAGGGACTTAAAGTAATGACAATAATGATATTGTCACGATTCATTAATTCACGTGACCTCGAGGACCTTTTGGACCTTAGGGTCCCAGAGGTCCTCAAAAGATGATATAGGGTATATAAACATTCATTTAGTCTCGTAGTTAAGGAGCTTCGTGCTCAACTTAGTTATCAATTAGTTTACCTACATTCTACTTGATCTAGTAACGACTTCACTTCCAAGTGAAGACCAGTGATAAAGCCTTAACCCACAACTACCAACCAGACGAAACCTTAGGCAGCCGCTGCCTCCAGTACAGTATCGTTACAGATATACAATTCGTAACTAATAGTAGAGTATACTAAATGATTGATCTTGATCTTGAGCACGAAGCTCTATACAAAGGAAATCCATCTTGATTATATAGACCTTCGTGTTCCAACATTAGGTTGGAGCGATGGAGCTGGGGAGCGAGATTCGAATCTCGCTCCTTCGCTCCCTCGCTCCCTCACATGACTATTCACATGATCCTGTAACACGTGATATTGGTTTGTGACGTTCCGACGTAACAAAACCCTCTAGAAGATTATCCCTCACCGAACTCTAATTGGCCGAATTACATCTAAATTCTAATTATATAATAATTAATAAAAACCATATATTTACCATAAAACGATACTAAAATATAATCAAATAAGAGGGTCTGAGGATGAGATAATATCTAGGTATCTAGTAAGTAGAAAATCGAAGCTACTCACATGTTTATTTTCCTCCGAGCTTTACATGGCACTTGAATCAGAAACATCAAGAATGACAACTTCAAGTCAGAAATTAAATATCAAATCAACTGCACAATATTTATACAAATTGCACATCAATAAACATAGTTCTGCTTCTTTCGAACTCATATACCGAATTTCAATTCCTGCCCGTTTTATTAAAAATACAATGGAAAGACTTCCAGAAAGCTCTCTTGAAGATTCAGATGTGCAACAAAACACTTCCTTAGAACACCAAAGTCTATATGAAAGTGACTAAACCCATTCTAATCACAACCATACTTCTAACCTTAATCAACAAGCTTACTATACTATAAAAGTGTACGCGTCAATTAACAAGCATCAAGAGCATTGGTGATCCATAGCTTGAGGGTAATTCTTTAATGCTGGAGTTCATCTAGCTATAGCCTGATAATCACTGAATAGATATCTGGTGATCCAGCGAAATCTCAACAGACACTGCCAAGGATAATAAATATCTTGATATAAAGTTGAGCTCTCTCTATCTATTAGAATGAACTCAATAGATTCGCCCACCTCCCCATCCTTCGATGATTGTGGGAAATAGCTCTTATCTGCCAGGAAACCATTGTAGGAAATAGCCACGAACATGAAGACCAACCAATTCTTCTAACCCTGCCAGCTATATGGGAGGAGACCAGGTACTCTCTCCATCTCCCTCAAGCAAACGCCAGCAGCTAAATATCTGAAGCTTTTTAAAGGCTCATCCCGGGTGCTTCTTGGCCCCTTATCATCCAAAGAGACGGCAAAACATGCAATGCTGCGCTCGAGAGCTTCTTCTGAATAGTCATCATTGACCTTGATTATGCAATTAATGATGAATGCCGCAATTTCATCGTATTTCTCTTTCATGCTGGTACAGAGCTCTCTTTGCTTTTTGCTTACCGACCCAGCCTTTCCGAGGATGTTGCCAACGAATACCTCACGCTCGCTGACTGGACGACTCGGATGCTCACTGTAATGATGCATTATGTCTAGCATATTGTTTTCGTATCTGCATTACCATTAGTTTCGCCAATTGTAAAGTAGAAAATACCCGAGCTTACATGTCCTTAATTTCCATCGCATCATTGCGCAGATGCTGCCAGAGTATACCCTGAGAACGAGATTTAACGAATTCCCAAACGTGCTGCATAACATCTGGGGTATCATTGGCTTGCATGTCCAGCCTTTGAATATCTTCAAAGACTTGTCGCTCATCGATTGCACGGTAAAGCATTCCACAAGTTTTTTGACTTTCATAGTACTTGATATTCGAGACCTCGTCCTCTTCATCCATTGCTTCTATTGGCGCATACTCCTTTGCAAATTCTAGGCGATCAGTAGGACGGTTCGAAATCTTGATATGAGGTCCTGAAGCCATGAAATCAGGACGCCAAAGAGTACTCTTGGGCACACTTGGATGATATATATCAGGCTAAAGACGTTTACAAGTCAGGGGGGTATCTAAGTCCAGTATAAGAAGATCAACATACCGCTATTCCCGTTTTGGAGAAATCCACCGCAGTTGAGCAAAGCTCCGCCAAAATAAGGCATTGTTGACATTGAGTTCCCATCACATTTTGATCTGCATAGACTTGATGTCTATTGGATATAACACCAAGCTGATCTGTCTTCATGAAAGTCAAGAAGTTATCAGCCATGTCTTGTTGTGTCACTGAACGGCCGATATCGAGAGGTGGTAATCGTGGGTAATCAGCGGGTATTACAGTCTTCTTCAACTTCATTTCTGGATCAAACATGACATAATAAAGATCGCCGTCTAGATCACCACCTGATAGCTGACTTGGTAGATCACGAGCTCCTTTCTGACTGAAGCAAATGCAGTTGTAGAGCCTCTTCAGTGGGGAGTTACTTGGAACATCCACGGCATTCGCCAATTGAACGTCTCCAGGATGAAGAGCCGGAGCACGAGTAATGACAACACTCGATTGTACCAGAGTGGTGCGCTTTCCATCCTCAAGCCAGCAGCAATATATTTCGCCCTCTTTCAAAATCCCAGTCTCGTCCATTATGCCGTGTAAATGATAGCCCTTCTCGACGGGAATCCTAGCTTTATGCTTTAGAGTGCGAAGCTCTATCAAGACTGCCATCTCGAGAACATCACGCAAGAATACGTCGTTTCTAAAGTCAAGGTTTAAATAAGAACAGTGCTCGATTAGGTATGGAAGGAGAACGACATCACCAACTCTTTTTCTTTCAAGAAATGTCGAAGCATTATATGTATTAGCCGTAATTGCTCTCAATCGTGTGACTTCCTTTTCTTGGAGCTTCATGAAGTATTCCGGCTCGACTCCTAAGTCTTCCAAAATCTTGATGAATTGTCGGTTAAGGTACATAGAAAGTGGTTTGTATGCACCCCCACATATTTCAAGGTCATTCGAAATCGATCCGTCAAACTTGATCATAGACTCCCTGAGTCGTAAATGATCTCCGGGGAGACGGGTGTCTAAAGAAATCATACCTTTGGCACCTGTCATGAAAGGTAAGCTTTGTTAATGTCATGAATGGCGTGACTACCCCTTGTAAAATAAAAAAACATTGAGGAACTAGATCATAGATCTTGCATGATTTCAAACTAACCTTGATATCTAATTTGGAAGCATGTCGGCTTCACAAATTTTTTGTTCGGTAGCTTTTCCCATATTTTGTGCATCAAGGACTCTGACATTGTCCCCACTCCATCACTGAAAACTCTGCCATTGCGTTCGACGTCAGGAATTCTTTCTATTGTAACGGTTCTCTTATCAAGAGTAATGGCATTTGGTGTATCAGAAAATGCCTGCCCAATTCGTGCTGCACATTTGGCTGGAGAGCGAATTGCTGTAAAATTACCCAGGTCATGAATGATGTGCTGGGCATCGTGATATCCCTCTTTGTTGAAGAATGGTGCCACAAACCAACAAGACTGTGTTCGGAGAGAAGAATGTGACGATCCTAAATATTCGTACTTTTGACTTGCGATTGAAAATCCATTTTTTAGGATATTCTTGAATACTCCATCGAAAATCTCATCGTTGGCAACATTTGAAGCATACTGAATTCTACCACCGTCTTCGTCGCAGAAATTCACACGTACAAAATTACCATGACTACCTAAATAAGTATTCTGTTGTCAGTATTCTGGTGAGAGATTGAGAAGAAGGGGCGGCTTTAGGGTGGATAGAGGTAAGACATAAGACGTAGGCAAAATAGTGCTTACCTGCGTATTTCCGGAGAATACGATTGTTACTCTCAGCCTCAGGGCCCTCAAGATAAAACCCAGCAGGAGTAATGGTAACTCGATGAACCAGAGCAGTGTTCTGAGATGCAGTTCCTCCAAAATCCTCCGCGTAGAGAGCCTCTTGCGTTGAAAGCTTCTCATTTTTCAAAAGCAGCTCAACAATAGCGTTTTTGTCAAAATCTTCCGCCTTGACATTAGGTCCGGGGAATGGAAGCTGATGGAAGAGCCTTCTTGTAGCTGCGACACAAATTGGAAGACTAGATCGTTTGAACATCGAGGTAAAGGTTGGTAGAAGGTCAATAACTTGGCGAGGAGAGAGGAATCCATTTTGGGCTAGCTTTTGGATCTGAAAAGTCAAGGGAAACGGTAGGGTATTATTGAAACTTCCCAAGGCCGCTTGAAGCCTCGTAAGTCCCGCAATGTGAGATTCGATGGGTTGGGTGACCGCAACAGGATGATGAATCATCGATGGAATTCCTCGAGCATTCTTCAACGATTCTAACTTTTGTTCAACATCGGGAGAAAATCCGCCTATGCCCTTCAATGTGCAACGATATACAAGGGAGCTGCCTGCAATTTCTTTATGCTCCTCGTCAAATGCAGCAATGCGAGATCTTTTTGGAGGGTGGTTGTTGCCGTTTCTGAGGTTCATTGTGCGAAACATATTTGTAATTTCAGAGAAATCTTCTTTTGGCGGATCTTCGAAGAAGTGAGGGGGTTGATGGAGTGTGGCAGTGATTGCTGGGTTATGGCCATCATCCGTGGTGAGAAGTTCAATTGTATCGTACCGAATGACCATTCGCCATCCGTAGTCGAGAATCAATATCATGGCCCTCTCCTTGAAATGGACAGTGAAATTGCCTTTCCACTTTTTCTCCTCCACGAAAACCAAATCCTCTTTCACATAATTCCAATTGCCACACATAATCGAAGTGCATTCAAACGAAGTGTTGGCGGTTGGTGGACCATGTTGAAGAATTGAGTTTTCGATACGTTGTTTCTCCTCCCTTTCCAGACATCGAAGTAAGTAGGAATTTGCAGGGAACCTGCTCTTTTCACAATAAATCGGCATGGAGAGGAAAATAAGCTTCGGAAGAGAAACCAATAAGTTTCGTTGCTTGTTTTTTGGTCTTCTCTCACCATATCGTCTTAAAAACATCTCACCATCTGTGGCAGTACGAAAGGTGATTTTCCCAAAGTCCTTGGTTCGAGCAGTGTGACAATGAAAGGCACGAATAGCAAGAGCATCGATCTTAGGCTTAAGAAATTTTCGAAGATCGTGCTCTCCAGCTTGGGCTGGCACGTTTGTGACGTGAATCTCCATTGCGTCTTAGACGCTAGAGGATTCACCACGGTAAGATGTGAGCGCCACCTGATAGAGAGATACTATGAAGAAATGGGATGATTTAGATAGAAGGGAAAGCAGTTAAATATATGATCGACATGAGGCAGAATAATATTGTCTGAGGTGGAAAAGTTAAGATGGTCAATGGTGAAAGCGAGGCTTCATGAGCTGCATGTAACCGTCGCGGAAAAATCACTGATTGGCTAATAGCTAGGTAGTAGCAATATCCAAGAAGGGAAGGATACATAAGCGGCAATTGCTGCAGAATCAACGTTAAGTCCGCTTACCGGTAGGTGGGGTATAAAATATAATATTTGCTTTATCTTTTTTCTATTTCATTTCTATATCCTCATAAATGATGTATTCAACTCCCCTTTCTAATGAGCTAGGTACATGCTCGGAAATCGATACTACGTTCTCAACTTGAACGCATTGAATGGACTTCGGATTTTCAATATCATCCTGTTCTCGAAAGTCTTTATATCCTGCTCATTAAAGAATGATAAGATGATATTTGAGGATCTCAGAGTTGACTGATCTGCTTTCAATCGAGAAGAAAAGGTCATGGAATCACCAATTCCAAAAAGAACAAGTGCACGTTGCATGCAGAACTCATCGTACTTTGATAGCCCTGGGACCCATTCATGGATAGAAATAAGTACTTGACTCATGTCAAGCACTTACCCCGACAACTAATTTCGACTTTAGAAGTTGCTTCAAAACTTTTCAACATTTGTGGCCTTGGAATCTGAGTTATGACAACACCTGGATCTAAAGCTAAATTTAGGTGTATAACATCGAGGCCCAGACACTGGCAAGCTCACGAAGACTACCAAGAGCTTGTGACTGCATGTCATCCTGTCTATGCACTCGAGGTTCAACCAGCTTCAGACAGCAGCTGGTAACGTCACATAGCTTAAGAAAGAACTACAGGTAATAGTCTAGAGTAGCTGTACTAACACCACAAATGCGGTTGACTGCTTTTGTTGAAAGAGTTGGAGGTATCATAAGCAAACAAATCCCACCGGTCCCTCCACTGATGTGTTGATGTAGTCGACCGTTGGAATATGATTGACCAACAGCGGTTGTAAGATATTAAGATCTTACATGCAAAGTCTTTGCCTAGAAAAGCTTAGATCACTATATAATCCGCTACCTTCTGTTCCCCCACTCTTTCCTTCATATGCGTCGTAGCCTACAATTCTACCTCTCCACTTGTAATTTCGCGAGTAACTTAAGCTTACCACATTCCTTGACATCTTTTGGAAGTGGGAGATGGCTCCATGATCGAGGCGAAGTCAAGGGAAGTTCTTTGACAGAAAATCTAGTGATGAATGATATTATTAGAACCTTGAATTAGATGTGCAACATTTTGTTTACGAGGTGATCGAAGGAATGGCTAAGCATTAATGATGCGAGATATGAAGGCAGATCTCTGCAGATAACTTAGGGGTTCGTGAGAGCTTGGTTCGAAGAATACAAGAGATCCATCGTGCTAATAATTTCAGGGCAAAGTAAAGTTTTTGGATTGAGCTTCTAGAAGAAAGTGCACGGACGGCCAGAAGAACCTCTTTTTTAAGTTTTCTGGAAAGTTTTGGACTTAGGTACGTCCAAAGTTTAAATTTGTGTTTTGACTAAGGACGGATGAAGTCATCTGGGAATAGTCCCTCTCAACCCCATTTACGAGTTGGGCAACTCAGAGGAACAAGTCATCCATATCCTACTCCAAGTCTCACCTCAGCTTATATTGTTCATGGCTCCTTCTCCATTACATCCTGCTCTAAGACCTAAATGGAGTATTTGTTGCACATCTGATATACCCCTTCTAATAATATACCATCAGAATTGTACTACACCCATCTAAACCCGAACACAAGCCACGATTTATTTAATTTCCACCCTTTCTCCACCCCCTTCTCTTTTCCTTCTTTAGTCGTTTTGTTGCATGTCTATTATACCTACCTAGCAATAATACAATATCTCCATCCCACATCTCTACCAGCAATTCCCGCCTCCAGAAACAAGCGTCTCCAACCCATCTCCACTTCCTTCCACTCTCTTCCACTTTCTTTCCTTTTGAGCAATCTCTGCGAAAAGCTTCCAGACCTCAAAACTCAAATGTTGCACATCTATTATACCCGTCTAATAATAATAATATCCCATTTACCATCTCTTCCTTATAATAACAACATTGATATTAATATAAATCCTCACACACAATTCCGCCGCTGCCGTTCGTAAACTCCACTTTGCGGCTCTCACGCTTCAGAAAAATAATCCCAAGCCTCATCCTAGCGCGAAATTTTAGCGCTGTATCAGAGCAGTTCCTGGTTTGTGATCTCACTCGGTAATTACAGTGGAGTTTCAGTCTTATTAATTGATAGCTCTCGGATCTCCTATATTTTGACGAGAAAGAGCGGCTTTTTCGGTCCCGATGAAAAATTGTTGCCCGAAATTTAAAGTTATTGATATATTATTACTTTTCGATTGTTCTCATATCGCTTTCATATATTTGAAGATGTGTAAAGCGATTATATATATCCTCTTTTGCCGGGTGCTCGAACAATGCCGAAGTTTTTTTTAAAAAAAACTTCAAAACTCCGATTGACGATGCCAAATGTCACGTTCCCTCATCAATGGCAAAACATGATGCATATATATTCTGGCAACACAGATACATAGGCAATTCTCATCATATCTCCTTTAAATACCATTATCCCCGGCGTTTGCTATATTTTCTTCTTTTTTGGCCTAATCTTCGGGCATCCGTTATCGTCAACAGCTGTCACGGATTCTTATTTGTACCAAAATGCGTCCCAGAATTTTATTCCAATATGGTACCTTGCAAGCGATATATGAGAGCTTGAACCAAAATACCTAAAAGGATTTTGATGCTGTATGTGATAATATAATTGCTATGCTAGTGCTTGCAAGACAACAGAACCATTACCTTGTTTCAGGTTTGCTCTCTAGCGAAGAGTTAGCTGTGATGAATTTCTCTCAAACCCATATCCTAATACATATTTAATGCGGCAAAGGAGGTCAATACACGGAGTAAAATGGTTTCTAGTAATAATATATAAGTTTGCGTATGTCCTTTTCCGAGCGATCATAGGATATATACTTCCCGTCTTTTGATGGAACTAATATCTTACTGCAACAATGCTTAAACTGCATATGGACTTTAGCTAATAACGCCGAGTATTGAATAAAGTCCTTCAATATATGGAATAGTACCTAAAGTGTAGTTTCACTTGATATGTACATAACCGACGCCTCGCAAGATCTATCTCTCGATCTTAATGTACATTTCTCATACATGTTCTGCTCACATTATAAGTTCGGAAAAGATTCTCAGAGTCATGGTGTGAGGAAATTATTCAACTTAGTTACGCCGCTGTCGGTATGAGTATATTCTATTCCCCACGGGTGACGCTGTCGATATCGCTTTTTAATGAATTGACATCTACTAAAAAATTTTAATGTTGTTTTCGGAAACAAAAATATCATCGTGACTATCTATTGCGAACCCCGCTATTCGCAAACCGGTACTTGAAATATATCCTTTGCAGAATTTATTGCTAAGTCGTATTAATAAATGGACCTTTTTTCTCATAATTAACTCGTGCCTTGACTTGTTATATTGGATAAGTCCCCCTACGAGTAGTAAACTCCCAAGAAAACTTCATGAACTGATCTCTTACAGATGTTTACCAATGATCTATGAGTACCGCTTTTAGATTGGAAGAGAATTTTCTAGTCAGTGACGACTCTTACCTGTCCATTCCTTAGATCTGGATTGACCTAACTGAAGAGTGATTGTATTCTCTTACTACCCTCCCCTTCCTTAATTCATGAATGAATAGGCATATAAATACCGTGGACTAAGTCTAGTACCCTACTTTTGGATTACCCCTCTTTTGGACCACCCTTTTACACCAAAAATTACCATTTTCAGTTATTAATGATTCAACAACGAATACATAAAATCAATTAAAATATTAATAACAACATTTCCATATGAATATAAAAAGATTCTGAAAATTTCAGATTCTTCACAATTTTATTGATCGATATTTTGAAGATTGAAATTTCGATTTTCGATTTGTATAAAATTTACATATAAATTCAAAAAACATTAAAATTTGAAATAATTTTTGTTGAAAAGTTATTCAAGATTTTAAGGATTTTAAATTTATATATAAATTATATAACGTGACTTGAATAGAAGTGGGTCATGTCATGATATATGTGACGGAAATCCCTGCTTTCCTCCCACCTTTATTATATAAGAAACCTCAGGTACATTAACCATGTCCACACATGATACGATTACTCGAGATTAGTATGCGATTTAGGTGACCTGAGGATCAGATCCGGACAAGTACTAGGTATCAATGGTTATCGGTAAAGTAAGATCATTGGAGGAATAAATATGACTTCTTTTTGCCTAGCCATTGCGGCTAGGCCATTCATTTGTGTATATATAGAGTAGCTATCCCCATCTACAGGTGCTCTTCACCTGTAGATTCTAAGTTAAATACAATTGCTGGTCTATAAACACCCTTTTGGTCACAATATAGGTCAAAATCACCCCCTCATTTCTTTATTTTACGCGTTTATTCAACACACAATGGATCGAAAGTCATCAAATCATAATGAATCGGAAGATAATATTCAAAAGGCTATAGAAAGTCTAAAAAATAAAGAATTTACCTCAATTCGAAGTGCTGCTATTCATTTTAAGATTCCGAAGTCAACCCTAATAAATCGAATGGCTGGACGACAATCATGCTCTCAATCTCACGAATCCTTTCAAAAACTTTCCAATGTAGAAGAGAAGACTCTAGTACGATGGATCTCACGATTGACAGCTACTGGATACCCTGCAACTCCTGGGTTGTTGAAAGAAATGGCCCAAGAAATTCTAAATCAGCGCGTCATTTTCGCGTCATCATCTACCCCTCCATCTTTTCAATCAAATCATATAGGTCAATGATGGATCTATAGGTTCTTAGATCGATATCCTAAACTTAAAGGAACCTATTCTCGTAAATTGGAATCTGCAAGGCATAAAGAAGCCACATTTGAAACAATTTCAGCATAGTTTTCAACATTTCAAGCACGAATCGAAGAACGACATTATGAACTCAAGAATATATATAATATAGATGAGATAGGATATACAATTGGAGAAACAGAATCAACACGTATAATCGTGGATTCTACTCTCAAATCGAATTGGAAGATTACAGCAAAAAAACAAGAGTGGATAACTGTATTGGAATGTGTGAATGCAGATAAAAGCTCTTTGCCCCCTATAATCATTTTCAAGGCTCAGAATACCAATACTGCATGGATTCCAACTAATACTCCTCCACATTGGTATTTCTCAACAAGCAATAGTGGGTGGACTTCTAATAATCATGGCTTTGAATGGATACATAAGGTTTTTGAGCCAGAATCTCGAAAAATATCAGGAGATCAGCCTCGATTATTGATTATGGATAATCATTCTAATCATATTACAGGAAGTTTGATTGCTTTCTGCATTGAGAAGGAGATTGATCTTCTTATTCTACCACCTCATTGCTCGCATCTACTTCAGCTATTAGATATTGGAGTGTATAGACCAATGAAACGATATCATGCCCAAGAGGTTGATCGATACTCTCGAGCAGGAATACAACGAATACAACGATCTGATTAGGTACAGCTTTTTCAAAAGATAAGAGGAAAAGGTCTTACTTGTCAAAATATCAAAAGCGGATGGAAAGGAGCAGGTTTGAATCCATTTAGTCCTCGTCAAGTTCTAAATAATCTTCCAACCCCGCTTTTACCACCACCTTCCACTCCAAATACACCAGCAAATCCAGAAGATCTAGATCTTTCTTTGCTTAATAGCTCTTCCCCGAATGATATTGAGCTGCGACAAGCAAATAAGGTACTCAATTCAGCTTTATCCGCTAATAATCTGCTTACTTCTCCAGTACAGAGATATGCAAAGCGAATTACCCATCAGATTGAAAGCTTAAATGCTGAAAATGCTATTCTTCGAAAGGAACTTCAAGAATATAAAGAGTTACTTGAGACACGAAAGAAACGAAAAAATGGAAAGAGAATAAAATTAAAAGGTGAATTTGTATTTAGTACTGAAGAAGTATTGAAAATCATCGAGGAGGCTGAACAGACACCCTTGCCTAAACGACGACATGGTAGACCATCTAAGCGTCAAATTGATCAAGTAGAAGAAGAGATGGAAGAAGAAGAGGATAATGATAGTTCAGTTGGATCAGTGATAGTTGTGGATCACCCTGTAGCATGTAGGACAAGGTCAAATAGGAAAATATGATTTTTGTGACCCATATCATGACATGACCCACTTCTAGTCAAGTCACGTTATAAAACAAAAATTAAAATTTTAATCATTAATATCTCAATCAATAAAATTACAAAAAGTCAGAAATTTTCAGATTCTATTAATAATTATATAGTAAAACTATCATTTAAATTTCATTCAATTTTATCAATTAATTGTAAAGTTATTAATAAATGAAAATCATGATTTTTGGTATAAAAAAATGGTCCAAAAGAGGGGTGGTCCAAAAGTAGGGTACCAGACTTATGGTCTGAAGAATTCGAAAGCATTGGTAAATACCTTTAGATCTCAAAACATAAACGTCTCTATCTTTGTGAAAGGTTTCTACGAGAGACAGCTAGGAATATATGATCTCTGAATAATTTTTCTAGCCAGGATTTGTAGAATTTCAACTCCCAAAATATCGCTGTCATCGTATTTCCCATCATTTATCTATACATGTTCATTGCTATTGTGGGAACTAATCATCATTTTCTGTTTACTTTCACCGAATAATAAACTCAGTAAACTATACATACCGTCCTCTTCCCTACCACTCTGATTCATCAACATAAATCATTGAATCCCACCACGCATCAAGAATCAAGAGAGCGAGACTCATACAAGACCACAACCATTAATTTTTGACGTTTTCAGGTGAATGAATAATATAAAGATGAACATGAACAGAGAGCTCTTTATATACTTATAATTATATTTATTACTCATTTCAACCTAATCTTTACAAAATATACTATATTCATAATCTATTGATTTTTACTCTACTTCACCATACTCTTCCTCATCCTTTCGCCATATTCCTTTAACGTTCCTCATTTATACTCAAATCTCCCTCTCTACCAAAGTATAAAAGTCCCTTCTTTGTCTGCCTACAAGACATAACCACATCCCACATTGAAACCATCAAGCCAAAAGACTTCTTTAACTGCGTAATCATTATATTATGTCGCATCCTACTCTAAAAATTAGACTTACCTCTTACTGCCCCAGGTTAGTACAGAAATTCGTAAGCTGTTGTGATATTGCTGTTGAATTTTTATTACTGTTGTTATGTAAGATTATTTTAATATTTACTTCTTTTATCATCACTGAATAGTCACTTGCACTTTCATTTCTACTTCTATTTCCGTTCCCACCCAATCATTTATTTAATCATCGAAAACTATATCAAATATCTATATCAAATCAACAAATAAACTTTCCTTACACACAAGACTACATTCCTCAAAGCCTCCATCTCCTTACACATGGTAAATGAAAGTTTACTTCAAGTATAGAATACGTTTTTATATATCTCCCATATAATAGATATTTTCTCCGAGCACCTCCTCCAACTTCTCAAATATTACTCTGTCCACCTATATATATACATATAATTATTAATTACCATATCCATCATACCCATAACAGTTCCGTCTGCAAATACGAGACTATGACTACTGTACTATGACAAACCCCCATCGTTTAGGGGTAGTATTGAATGTGTAATATATATAGAAGCAATGATGCTTCGAGATTAGTATTGTTATGAGTCTACACTGGTGTATAGGTGTTGACCTCCTGGGATCTTGGCAGCATATGCATATATATTGCATGATGCATATAAGGAGCAAACAAAACTCAACTTTTAATTCATTCTTTCCTTTTTGGTATACTGTTTGTTTCCTTTCAATATTTTTGATTTCAAAGCACTTTAATTCCGAAGGCTGAATACCTAACCTTATTCCTTCATTTTTTTTTGAATATATGCTCGCAGCTTAACTGCTTAGCTAGAGAATCAATCAATTCAATCTGATACTCTTTCTGGTCTCAAGAAACCCAACAATAGGTGCTGCTTCCCCCGAAAAATCGTTCCGTTGATTTGAAGAATTGATTTTTGACTCTGGTATTACCGGTTCTTTTAACAGTCTTTTTGTTGTTATTCCTATCACCGTCAATGCCATCGTCTAATATTAACAAAATAAGTTTTATTATTTATTATCATTAAAATCTCCTTTGCCATCCTTTATCCTAGCTCTCCTCCTTCCAACCACTTCTCTTTTTCAGTACTTTCACCCCCTAAACCCCCTCCCCAATCCTTTGTAGTAATGATCAATTTAATCATTATAAAGGTTATCTTATTCTCATACTACGAAAAGTTCTATTCAAAGGTAGAATATATCAATGGCGCAAGCGCTACATATACCTTTATCGTCGTTGCCTATAGTGAATATCACTATACCTGTGACGGAAATCCCTGCTTTCCTCCCACCTTTATTATATAAGAAACCTCAGGTACATTAACCATGTCCACACATGATACGATTACTCGAGATTAGTATGCGATTTAGGTGACCTGAGGATCAGATCCGGACAAGTACTAGGTATCAATGGTTATCGGTAAAGTAAGATCATTGGAGGAATAAATATGACTTCTTTTTGCCTAGCCATTGCGGCTAGGCCATTCATTTGTGTATATATAGAGTAGCTATCCCCATCTACAGGTGCTCTTCACCTGTAGATTCTAAGTTAAATACAATTGCTGGTCTATAAACACCCTTTTGGTCACAATACCCCTCTTAGTTATACTTTTAATATTTAATATTTAATATTATGTTAAAGTGAATGGTTCCTGCGTAGCACGTGCACAGGGCACTAGTCCTGTTAGGACTAGATTGAGAAGCTCTCTTACAGAGAGCTTCGCACTTCCGTAGAACTTAGAAGAGAGATTAACCTACTAGACCAATATTACCTCAGTTCTGCCCTATCAGCTTCCCACTATTCCCTGTGTGAGGTCATTCCTTTTAACATATTATTTATTATTTATTATTTATTATTTTTATAAAAATTTTAAATTCAAAAGCTTTTCATTATAAAATTATATATAAAATTAAATTATTAAAAACCCTAATCTAAAAATCCATTCCCAAGACACCAATCAAGATTACAAACACAAAACTTTATATTCCTTCTTGCAAGTACGAGTTTCATCATCTTATAATTTTTATTGCTTTCATTTCCCTCCAATTCAAGATATGATATTCTTGTTACGATAGTAACAATTGACTAATTAGGAGAGCTTGGGCCTTGTGCAAAAGCGATCAGATTTCATCGAATTAATATGTGATCTGGGCCACCTTAAGATCGTATGTGCACGCACTGTCAGAAAGCACGTGACTTGGAGCTTTTGGAGCTTGAGGATCCAAAAGGATCCAATGGAGCCTTTGGAGCTTAGGATCCAAAAGGATCCAAGGGAGCATGAATATCTATATAATCAAGATGGATTCCCTTTGTATAGAGCTTCGTGCTCAAGATCAATCATTTAGTATACTCTACTATTAGTTACGAATTGCATATCATTGTCATTACTTTAAGTCCCTGCTTGACGCCTAGTTATAAATCACTTCGAGAGCCTAGAGCACTTCCACGTGATCTAGACGGCAAACCTCGTAACAATTCTACACTATGTCAAAGAAGTTCATGGTCATCCTTTAACACACCATAAGTCTAGTACCCTACTTTTGGGCCACCCCCTAATATGGGCCACTTTCCTCACCAAAAATGACAAAAATCGACTTTTATAACTTTCTTATTTATGGATATAATTCTCTTAAATTCAGAATATAGATTTATTACTTATATAATAGTAGATTCTGAAAATTTCAGATTTTTCGCGATTTTATTGGTCGAGAAATTGAAAGTTGAAATTATGATTTTCAATTTGTATGTTATGAGGTTTGCCATCTAGATCACGTGGAAGTGCTCTAGGCTCTCGAGGTGGTTTATAACTAGGCGTCAAGCAGGGACTTAAAGTAATGACAATGATATGCAATTCGTAACTAATAGTAGAGTATACTAAATGATTGATCTTGAGCACGAAGCTCTATACAAAGGAAATCCATCTTGATTATATAGACTTTCATACCTATCGTTCCTTCGGCCCCTTCGATCCCTTTATCGAAGGGATCGAAGGGATCACATGACTTCGTATGTGGTCATATGATACGAGGCCAGAAGCCGTTGTAACAAAAAGGGTGGCCCATATTCGGGGGTGGCCTAAAAGTAGGGTACTAGACTTAATACATGCTGATTAGTGTACAGAGTATCCATTTACCTGCAACACAAGATTGCTGTTAAGAGAGTTGAAATGCAGTTCTGGATGGTATATTTGTTTGCGACAGTTCTTCTGATGATGTAATATATAAAGTCCTTCTAGTCTTTTCTGCTATGAGATTATTCGGCACGGGTTTTTTAGGGTAATAATAGCATAAGTGATCTGACTAATTTGCTTGACACAATAAATATATCATGAAATCAAACATTTTTTGAACTCTCACAGGGTTTGTCATCTTATAGTAAATTCAACTTGCGTTACCAGTGCTAAAATCTAGTGGAAGTTCAAACGCTGCAGACTTGCGAAATGTACCACGTGATCAAATTAACACCCAATGCCATCCACCCATCTCAAGATATAATAAAGTCCACCACCAAACCAACCATAAGAACTTCCAATTTAATAATTCTACAAAAACAATCCCAATCTTTTCTTACTTACTACTTACCTTCCATAAAATCAATATATCCACCTAATTAATACATTGTACTCATACATATCACCCAAAACGAACGTCACAGAATCACAAAGTCACGATATGTGCACGTGCACTACCTACCTACACAAAATTAACATAACATACCTACCTACGGAATATGATGATGATGATGATGAAAAGTGACTAGTGCTCTTCGAGGATCTTGGATCGTCGTGATGTTAATTTTAAATTTTATGTGCGTGATTACTTGGGTAGAAAGATAAGAAAATGGGAAAATGAGGATCTTCGTAATTATAAATAAAAATGTGAGAGATGTGATGTGGCTGTGTATAGATACCTAGGTAAATAGGTATTTTGTTATAAAGGTATGGTTATGGAGTGTTTTAGTACATAGGGAAAGTCGTGTTTTGATGGAAGCTGGGGAGATCTTTTGTAGATCTTTGTCTGTTACTGTTTTTTTTTTTGTTTTTTTGTGCGACGATGTCGATGTTGTTGGATATGTAGAATCTGGATGTATGCATTTGTGAATTGATTTAGGTAGGTAGGCAAATGTAAGATCTTAAATATCTGTGAATTTTCTCCCAATCTCTGGATACGGGAAAGATACACGGGTGTCCTGAAAGAGTGCTCCTGAATCATATACATACTTGCATTAGGTATCTGAGCATAACTAGCTGATACTAAAATAATGTAACTCGAATGTTGATTTTTCTAGAATAGTATGATTTTAGTGTATTTACTTGAAGGTTGACCGACTGACTGACTGACTGACTGACTGACGGCTTTAATCAATTTCGAATGGAAACTTTCTAGATAGGTAGGTGAAGATATCGATATTCGTAAAATCAAAGTAAAGATACTAGGTAGATATTGAGGGCAGGAGATTTTAAATCGGTACCGAAGCGCTTGTACGGACGTATAATTTGATGTTAATATGACTGAGTAGTACGTGGCACCGAGATGATAACCTTAAAGATGGTGGATACTCGTATCTTTTGCTTGGGATGAAGATGTTTATGATTATGGAAAAGATGTCAATAATGATCAAGTACCTACTTGTATAAATACTTGAATAGAGATGATTCGTTTCTATTTCTCATTTCTTTCCTCTCTCATTTATCCTATCACACTCTTCAATTGATTCTTTCTTTCATTCGTCCTCTTAATTCATCACTCAACAAATCACTTTTCAATTCCTTCCGTTTGTATTTATTAGGCCCAGGTAGGTTATTCCTGTTCCTGATTATGCATGGCATTGGCACATTATCACCTGCAGTATGCGGCAGGGAATAAGGGTGTACTAATCAATGATAGGGTAAAGCTCCAAACATCCATGACCATCCATGAGAGACTTAATTTCATTTCCATCCCATTCACCAATAACACGCGTAATTGATGGAAGGGTCCGTGGCTTGTACCTGGAGCTTATCTATTTTAGGATTAAGGTATAATCTGATTCCCCTGCGTCGTTCCTGATTTGTCGCTAGAAATAGGTAGCGTAGGTAGTAAACATCATGGTAAAAGATCCCCAACTCCGTAAACCACGCACACATCCTAAATTCCCATGCAAATGTCAAGAACTGCAAGAAATTGATCTTAACTTGAAAAGGAAATAATTGGATCGATGAATTAAATTAGTTTGCATAATTAGCATGGATTTTCAACCATTTCTCCGCAATCCGCTCCAAAGTTCTTAGGATACCACCAAGAAAGAAGAGACGAACCCTTTTCCATGGTAGAGTGCGGATTTACGAAGGGAAGTGAAGTACCTACCTACCTACTAGGTACGTACCTACGCTTGTACCACCCATTACACCACAACCACAACCTCAAGCACACCACGCCCATCACTCTTTCTTTACCTTTTTTTTCTTTCTCCCTCTTCCCAAAATTAACCATCATCGTTGCTTTTTCCTCCCCTCAAATCCTCCACATCTCTAGAGTTTAGAGTCAAAAATAACTCTATCTCGTCGTCCTTCTTTTATCGACGAGGATCAATAAAATTCATCGACAATTCGAATCCTGAGAATTGTTTACTCAACAACATTGAACCGATCAAAACACAGTCTCAGCGACAGAAAATCCAAATAATCGATTTACATTCTTTTCACCAACCGCACAAACGCGATCGGCCACCACCACATCACCTTTATTCGAATAAAAGTTACATACTGCGACATTACTAGCCGATGAATAATTGATAATTACAATCATCTCACCAATATCGTACACCAGCAACGAAATACTTCATTCCAATTCGAAAGATTTCGCAACTTCGAATAATAATTAACGACCATCCACAATACTTATTCGATACGCAAACTTCGATCTCTAAAGATGAAAGGTCGTTCTCATCAACATGCCCGTCATGCGAGACGCTTTGGATTAGGTGAACAAGATGAAATTGCAGCACCAATTGAGGTCAGGAAACCCAATCCAGATCCAGCATTGCAAACAATTGTATCAGTCGTATATGTAACGGCTGCACCAACCTTCAGCGGATCAATTGCAGGCTACTCAACTGTCGGACAAGATGATGAAACAACATCAGCTGAAGTTGAGAAGACAACATCTTCTTCAACCAAAACTACCGCCGCCAAAACAACAAGTTCCAGTTCCTCAAGTCAAACTCACACTTCATCCGCCGCTTCCACTCTTGAGACTTCTGCTTCCAGCTCCACCGAGCTTCCCAGTTCCATTATCGCGACATCATCTGTAGGAAGTTCAGTTGCTCTTCTTGCCGCCACCAATAATGCACCAACATCAAGTTCAGCAACTGGTACCTCCGCGAGTGCATCTTCTACTGCTACTTCTGCTGCAGACACATCAAGTTCCGGTATGAGTACGGGTGGTAAAGCAGGATTGGTTGTTGGAATCTTACTATTGCTTGGAGCCTTACTTGTACTCCTCTTGTTCTTCTTTAGGAAGAAGAAGCAGGCTGCTAAGAGAGAACGTCTCGATGATGAAAAATCGGCCATGGAAGCTTCCTCTGCTCGACGAGCAGAAGTTGAACGTGCGGAAGCTGCACGCCTAGCAAGTCTAGGTGCGGCTCAAGGAGGAGCAGCTCATCAATTATCTCTGCGTCCGGTTACAGAATTCCAGCCCTTCAACGAGAAGCAAGGCCTCAATCAAGCACCAGCTCAAACCGGTAGCATGTTGACGCCAATAATAACTACCCAATCTGTAGGACAGGAACAAAACATGAACAACCCATTTGGAAACCACGCGGAAGCTATTGATACACCCAATACCAATGGTCCACCTGTCATAGAAGGTTTGAACGCTGGAGGTGAAATAATTGCTGCCTCTGCCGGTACTGCTGTCGCGCTTTCTACCACTGCTACCACTGCTAGCCCTACTACTCCTCCCGCTCAAGGTGCCCCTGCTCCCGCTCAAGTCAAACCCGTTGGTCTAGCTCGCAGTGCTTCTAAAGCTGGAAATGGTCTTAGACAAATAGACTTCACTACCAAAAGCAACACAGCTTTAAGCCCACCAAGTCCATCTGGCTCTGAATTTAGTACTGTATCAGGAAACACTCAAGCTCAATCCGCAACTGGTACGGCTATTGTCGCAGCTGGTGGTCCTCCAAATACCACTGTTCACCGAGTTCAACTTGATTTTGCACCTTCCATGGATGATGAACTTGAGTTAAAAGCTGGTCAATTGATTCGTATCTTGCATGAATATGATGATGGATGGGTAAGTGGTTTTCACTTTTCTTTTAATTTCATTCGATAATCCACATGCTAACGAAAAACAGGCTCTTTGTATCCGTCTCGACCGTTCTAAACAAGGTGTTGTTCCTCGAACTTGTCTTTCTACTAGACCTGTTAAACCTCGTCCTCAACAAGCTGGTCCTCAAGGTTCACCTGCTATGCGCAGTCAACAAGGTCCTCCTCGCATTCCCAACAAGGATGGTCCACCTTATCCATCGTCTCCAGTGGGTAATCGAACAATGACACCAAATGGACCATCACCAAACGGACCACCAAGACCCATGCAATCAAACGGACCATCACCAAACGGACCCCCAAGACCTATGCCATCAAACGGACCATCACCAAATGGACCACCAAGACCAATGCAATCGAATGGACAAGGTCCTCCTCGTGGTCCTGGTATGAAGCAAGGTCCTCCTAAATCTTTGTCGCCAAATGGACCCTTACCAAATGGACCTCCAAGACCAATGCAACCAAATGGTCAAGGTCCTCCTCGTAGCCCTGGAATGATGCAAGGTCCTTCTAGAACAATGTCGCCCGCTGGTAACAGACCCTTGACACCTCAAGGTCAACGTCCAATGGTTCCTCCAAATCACCCAAATCAAAAACGTTCAATGACACCACAAGGTCTACCTGCACCAAGCATCACAATTCCACAAGTTCAGGCAAACCAGCAGCGACCACTCACTCCAACAAATCAACAAGTGACTCCACCAAATGAGGGACGTGCTCGCAGTGATTCGGATACCGATCCTATTTCCAGACAACCAAGTCCTCCAATTACTGCAACAGCACCAATGGATGCTCCTTCATCTCCTCCAAACATCAGAAGTCCAGTAGAAAGAAAGCCTCTTCCAGGTCAAGCCTTGTAATTCACATATCTATCTAGCAGGGGTAATAGATCATCTATGCCTCAGTATAGACTTCCTTCAAGTATAAAGATAGGGTCTTACATATGGCGCAACTGGGAACTGGATCCAACAAATTAAATTCGATATGAACAGAACGACGAATGTACACAAGTTTCTATTGACGCATTTTCATCTCATCATTGAGCAAATTGTTCAATATTTTCCTTCTTCACTCCTTTGCACAGAGTTTGCAATATTTTTGTGGATGGTGTTTTTAGTTTTTTCTTTTTTACGTTGTTTTTCGGAGGAGTTCACAAGCAATATTAATACACTTATTACATGGGCTAATAACAGTAATGTGTATCTATGGACATTCTCATTTCTACGACGAAGCTTTTTTATTTTCGAGGTACCTTTCTTTTCTTAGGAAAAAGTTAGGTCTGAGTCTTTCAGGTTTTGATGCTAGTCATTGATGGGAAGTTAAGAGAGGGTGGGAGCAGAGAAGTGAGATGAATTGACGATGAAGGAATTTCAATTGACTGGCATGAGATGTTATTGAACCAAGAAAAAGCTGTGCTTTGAATCGATTTGATGGCTTTTTACATGATCCTACCATTTGAGTGGTCTGGCTGATTGATTGATTGACTGGGTTTACTATTATTCAGCAATGAAATTCTGGAGATCGTGAATGAGAAGAGAAGCGATATTTTGCTGGGCCTGCCAACTCATTCATCTGGTTATGAGGCTGGTTAGAGAATGTTTATAAAATGCAAAATGAGATGATGGTATTAGGAAGATGGTACTTTACTTAGCTAGATATGGGAAGGGGAATGGAAGATATTTGGTAGTTAGATAGGAATGATAAAGGAATACTTTTTATTGACTTTTTTGAATGGTTTTTGTGAGGTTTAGGGTGAGGGTTTAGGGTGAGATTTCCTTGTGAGGTTTTTTAATGTGTTCTATTTGTTATGGGGGATGGATGTTGGCTTTTTGCTACGGAGACTGATAGGGATTGGTGAGATTGGATTGTAGTGGTGGGGGTAGCACATGAGAGATGGGGAATGGAGAGAAGATATTCTTAAAATTCCATTTTATTATCTTTTTATTAGATTTTTAATAAATAGTATAGAAATATATTTTTAATTTTAATTTTTCTCAAAGAAAAAGATTAATTAAATAAAAAGAGATTGATATATATTAAATTAAAATAAATAAAAATATTATTATTTTGGATTTTGGACTTTGGTGTTACGAGGTTTGCCGTCTAGATCACGTGGAAGTGCTCTAGGCTCTCGAGGTGGTTTATAACTAGGCGTCAAGCAGGGACTTAAGTAATGACAATAATGATATGCAATTCGTAACTAATAGTAGAGTATACTAAATGATTGATCTTGAGCACGAAGCTCTATACAAAGGAAATCCATCTTGATTATATAGACCTTCGTGTTCTAGCTGATCAGTAGGATCAGTATGGCTCAGTACTGAGCTTGCTGATCCTCACTGAGTCAGTCACATGATATTGGTAACACGTGAGCGTCTTCTTGTTACCCGGCGTAACATTTGGGTCTGGATGCTAAGAGTTGTATTGATTTTTTTTTTCAAGTTTTATTATATATTTGTTAAGGATATTTATTATTTTATAGATATATATAAAGCTGGATTAGATATTAGATATTAAAAATTAAACTATCTCACCAACCACCACTCCTACAAGCCATTTCTATTATACATCTCCACCCAACCTCCTCATCCTGACACCCTCACACCCTCACACCCTCACACCCTCACACCCTCACACCCTCACACCCTCACACCCTCACACCCTCACACCCTCACACCCTCACACCCTCACACCCTCACACCCTCACACCCTCACACCCTCACACCCTCACACCCTCACACCCTCACACCCTCACACCCTCACACCCTCAAACCCTCACACCCACACTCACCTCACAACAAAGAACCCACCAACGCCCACCCCCGCATCCCTCAACCTATCCCCCCCCCCCC